AGAGAAGACTTCACAAAGATAAAATGGACTGTTCTAAGTGTCAGTCAAATTCAATCTGACCAATCAGGACAAGCCAGGAGTGTGCACATGTCCTACAAACACACATCAGGTGTATGCCATTATTTTGTGAGACCCAAGCAGCAATATCGAAGGGTTTGCTCTTAGTGGAAAGGTTTAGTTTAAACATTTTATAATAAACAAAGTACATTATCCTGCCTCAAAATCATTTTTGAAGAAGTTCTTCCAATTAGTCTCATGTCATTTAAGTTTTTAAAAAAAACACTAGATCTTTTATATCAATAATAATGGACCTTTCCGGAATGTCAATCAAACTTTAAACAACTGACCAATCAGAACATGGCCAGGAATACACAAGGGGTGGGTGGGGCTTAGCGGAAATTTCAATTACATGAAAAGTATGGACTGTTGCGGAAATATAATATGGTAATGATAGAGTGAACAATGCAATTTTGTTATAATGCATTTTAGTTTGTACAAGACTAGATCAAAGAGTATAAAACTGCAAGAGGTCCAACTGTCCTGATTTCGTATGCAGCGTAGTATGCAGGCAATGGAACGCTAAAAGTACTGCCACGAAATAGGTGGCGCCCTAGACATAATTTAGAAACGCGTACACATTGCTTGAATCTTAAAAGACCACGCCTCTTTGTGGAAGTACTGCACTGTTTGCGTTCCAACGAATCCCGGCAGACTCTTGCAGTTATGTACATTAATACGATTAATAATTAAATTTACCTGCAGTTCACAAGAAATTTATAATTGTAAAATGTGCAATAAATGTTTGTTGTACTTTGAATATGAATAACTATACTTTGTTACATTTCTGTTGTCTTTATCTATACTATTATATAGGAATGAGAATTGCATTTACAATGACACCAGCAACAAGCCTAAATTTGGGAAATTATTCATTTTGTATTTTTAAATATGTTTATTTACACTGAACACGAATTCGATGATCACGAAGACTGCAGAGAGTAAACATGCAAAGATTTCCTCGCTGCTCTTGAGCTTTATGTAAATACAGTAAAACAGCCGTAGAGATGGGCAGTGCCACAACCAGCTATTAGGGGCACAAGCTCGTAGCCAGGGGATTTAAGGGTTTCGAAAGAACCCCCCTCTCCAGAAATGCCCTTTTAAATCATTACTGAAAAGTATCATTTGAGTGAAAGTTTTTGAAATTAACTTCAGATATTTGAAATTTGGCATTTTTATTGCCAATCTGGACATTTGAGCTGTTGTATCTTTAAAATTTAACCCAACTATGGCGGGGCAGAGGCTGATGTGGATCGACTCAAAGTTCCCTTAGTGAAAGATTAGAATCACCTTTAAACATCCTGTCTTGCTTGGGGCCTATTCATAAGTAGGCCTAAAAATAATTTCCAACTTAATATTTTTGAACAAAACCCCACCAGTAGGCTCCTCGATAATAGGCCTATTTAGGTTTTCAACTATTGATTGCTGTGTTCCTTCAATTGTTTAATTTTTCGCGACACCAGTTTTCTTGATTAGTTTATAAGTAGCTGCTCTGACGCCGGCCGGCCCCTTTCCCTCTCTCCTAAATTTTACAATTGGGGAAATTGACCGTGTTCCCAGCACCCCTCCCCTAGCCATAACTCCTGCAGCCCTTGGATGACGGTTCACATCAAAGGATGACAATTAATCTTGCACTGGGGCCCGTTGTCACTTATCTTCGCCGCTGCCGTTAAACCTCAAATTAAGACTCATGGGCTTAACTCGAAAAGATGCGCCAATCTCGATAAGAAGCCTATGCAGGAATGTAGCCAAGATTTTGAATTGGGGGAGCCGTTATGCGAGAGGTGCATAGGACCCAGGCGGGGTCAGGAGAAGGTTCCCCCTGTGAAGTAGCGCACTCTCTGAACGTTTTCAGGACTGTTTTGAAGGATAGTGTAAAAATTGTAATAGACGCATCAAAATAATATTAGTAACAAAACAACAATAACTTTCAGAGAATGAGGAACCACCCACCACCTCAGTCCCACCATGGTTGGGGCTGAGGTAAGAAAACATATGATTATGGCACCTCTAGATGGCCGGTAGACTGAGTTCCAATCCCAAACGTTGTCTTACTCGGTGAATAAATAAATTAGAGGCTTGTGGCAAGTCTAGTAACCGGAAATGCCACTCTAAACTTAAATTCGAATATAATTTTCTGGTAGGGCCTATTTCTCCATTTTTTATTTTTTTTTTCAAATTTGGGGGCCCGGGCCGACTCCCCCGCCCCCTATTTGTCCGCCATTGGAGACTGAATTTATGGTAATATTCAATTTTTTTTTTAAATGGTCTGAAATGGAATTTAAAGGTACTGCCACTAGAATTTTCCTATGTTAAATTTAATAACAAGCTCCATCCCCACCGGTCTGGGAGAAAAACCAAATTCGTCGACGCCGGGGCTGGTAGAAAACATTAGGCTATATGTATTGCTTTTAAAGTAGAAAATCGATTAAAATATAAGCCTTCTGGATCACTTCCAAGAGATTTTGAGCAAATCGCGACCACGCCCACTTTACGCTCTCGTGGGGAGACTGGGAATGTGCCTCCCGTCGGGCAACACGTACACGTGCTTCCCCGGCTTGAAAACCCCTACCCACCTTTCGCATCAGCAGTTCATAAAAATAAGTAACTACATTACTATTAAAAAAACTTTTTTAATGTAATTTAATTTATAAACACACTTCCCCTCATCTTATTTTTCAACCTACATCTCCCCATGCATTATCTTTAGTATTTATTAGTTGCAAAATATATTGCGGGCGCATTATTAACGGTCAGTCTTCATAATGAAAGGAAAATTACTAAGGAGTTACAAGAAAGGATCATCAACTGCGCAATCACATAGTGAATGATGAATGCCTGTGTTAAAGCCACAAAAATGTCGATTTGAATGTCATTTTGTCTATAGTTCTGTGGTTTTGGTGACTCTAATTCTTCCATGCTCTAATATTAACCCCATGGGTTACAATTGGAGTAGTGGATTATTATTATGGATTAACTTCTAGGGTGGGTTAATATTAGAGAGAGGGTTACTAATTATAGAATAATGGGTTAATTATTAGAAATGTTACGGTATATGTAGTACCAATTGTATCGGACCTGACGATATGAAAAGCATAAGTAGGCCTACCGTATTTAAAGGTGGCCATAAGCCTAAATTTATTCGTAAAATATTAAATATCTTGAAATAGTTATGTAAGTAGCTTTAAATGCAGATTTCCACCAAAAAAAAGTAAAATCTATGTAAAAAAGAAAAATAAATAATATAAAAAAATTTCAGTCGCCCGATAAGGGACTTGAACCCTTGACCCTCAGATTAAAAGTCTGATGCTCTACCGACTGAGCTAACCGGGCTCCCATATTGACTTCTTCTCCTTAATTGGTATTGATAATTTTAATAAGAAAGAGGGCGCTTATCGTTATGTGCCTTTTTAAGCCTCGTGTGTGTGTGTGTGTGCGACATGTTGTTTATTTCCCCGCGTGGTTGGCCATTTATGGTGGAGGTTGCTAAAATTGCTATACAGTATTCAACATGTTCCTAATGTATTATTTGAACGATAGTGGTGATCGAATCTACACATTAAATGTAAGAATAGTTTTTATTAGACTTATTTTGTGTACCAGCCTGTAAAACTAAGAACGATATTATTACAGATCGCACAATCTAGCCTAGGCTAGGCGGCGGCCTAGGCGGCCTATGCCTAGCCCTACCTAGGCTAGCCTACCTAGGCCTAATTAATATAATATATCCTTGGCCCTTGTTGGGCCTGGCCTTAGTCCCTAGCTGCAGTGCTGCTGACTAGGCCTATTACTAGCTACTACTACTACTAGAGCCAGGCTGGCTAGAGGTAAAGTAGGTGGTGACAGACGATCGGCCCCACCCCCCACGGCAATTAGACGACCGAGTCCACCTATTCTATATAGTCTATCTGAGTATAGTGTGGACTTTTGGGCCCATCTATGTAAATTCTGATTTATTATTGCCCCTTCAAAAAGTTGTGAGATAATTATTTATTTTTCATTCCAATCTTCAATTGAAAAACAATAATTAATGTACCATAATATATAAAATAATGAATTAGACAAGACAAGTCACAAGTAATTCAAATATTTCATCTTTGCAGAAAACAGATCTGGTAGGCAAACCAACATTGTCAGCTCATCCAGGTACGGTTATCTTAGACTAGGCTAGGCCCTATATGTACTGTACAATTATCTCATTTTTTGACAAAACATGTGACATGCCTAATATGGTCATGATGACATCACATCATGACTATATATGGGCATACAACAGTTCTTTGTCAAAGAAAATTTAATAGTGTGCACAGGTATAAACTTTGCTCACACCATCAAATGTTATGTGAGAAATATAAGTGATATGCCCATGTTTAGGTGTATCTGGTACTGGATTGATTGGATTAATTTTTCAGTGTAAACACCAAGGATAGCCCACGAAAGTCTAGAAGAAAACTTATTTCCAGTGGAGTCCTCCTGGTGGTGATTGGGCAGTACACCGGGAGACAATCCCCTACTCTTTTCTGAAGAGTTTACTGCGTTCTTTAACGTTTCACATGGGCCGTAAATGCACATGGGACCAACGGCTTAAATGTCTCATCCAAAAGACGGTGCGCTATTGTAACTTGTATTTCAGCGCTCCAGCTGAAACACAAGGAGAGGCAGCGATGGGAATTGAACCGGGGACCTAGCGATCTCCACGGTTCAGCACACAAACAGTGGCTACCACCCGATTAGCCGACTGAGCTAAGCTGCTCTCTAATATCATGACATCATCATGCCACTAGTATACGGGAACATCACACAAATTTGTCACATAAAATTTGTTAGTGTGAACGGACTTTTACATTATTATAATGACAAAATAAAATACAAAAATTCTATTTAGTTATCAAAATTTATGTTAATTTCTGCCATGATACAGTAAAGCTATCCCTTCAATTTGGAAAGACATCTTTAATATCTTACAATATTTCCAATGTTAATAAACACACAGTGATAATTTTTTTTAGATCAATTGTTGGATCTCAAAACACATCATTTAATAATATAACCCTTTTTATGGATTTTTTATGTGATCCTCTGACATGCATTGTGCATCATGATAAAACTGCATTAGTGTATAAAGCTCTATCCAGACTATCAAATTTTCTTTGACAAAAAAATGATGTATGCCTATATATAGTCATGATGTGCCCATATATGGTCATGATCTGCCTATATATGGTCATGATGTGATGTCATCATGACCATGTTAGGCATGACACATGTTTTTGTCTAACAAAATTTGATAGTCTGGACAGGATTTAAAGCTCTGTCCAGACTATCAAATTTTATTTAAAAGAAAAAAATACTGTATGTCCATATACTGTATAGGCATAATGTACCTATATCTATCTTCTGATAAGTATGTGAGGATCATCATGCTTGCAGAGGCGTGGACTAGCTCGTACAGTAACTTTCGTCTCTCCTAAGGGTCACTTTGGGTCTGAGCTACCCAGTCAACTGGTACTGGCTACTCAACAGGGGCTATATGGACTAGTACACTGGGGTAACCCCCTAGTCATCGCGAAAAGTGTACTGGCATCTTTACAGTAAGCGCACATGAGCCAATTGTACCTATATATGGTCCATATAATGTGATGTCATCATGACCATATTTAGGCATGTCACATGTTTTTGTCAAAATAAGTTGATAGTGTGAAATGGGCTTTAGGGCATATGTTCAGATTATCTTTCTCTCACTCTGGTCAGGTGGCGCCAAGTTGCGCTGCTGTGGCTGTCACAAGAGGACATCATCTTCTCTTGTCTAGTGCTAAATGAGTTGCACCATACATTCCATGTGTTGTAACTTTCTTTATGACATCGATTCAAGATGCTGATGGATGTCCCCTTCCACAATGGCCATCCACAGCTCCCTGAAAGATTTGCTTTTGAATTCCACAATCTTTTCTTACAATGTGACCAAAGTATCTTAGTGTTCAGATTATTTATTTAATAATTTAATAAAAAAGAAAAAAAGTAAATCAAACATTTACAGCACTATGTAACTGGTTTTAATACCATCAAAATCTAGAAAAAACTATCTTTTTGATACATATAACTGTAATATGAACTATTTTGTATTTAACAGCTCGCTTCTCACCTGATGACAAATACAGTCGTCAGAGGGTAACTATAAAGAAACGCTTTGGTCAGCTTCTAACACAACAGCCAAAACCAACGTACTGAAGCAAATTTTGGTGAGATGGACAATACATAGTATAGATTGATTTTGAACTGACCAGACTTTTATTGTGAAAGCAATTGTACACTGATTTTAATATGACCTATATAACAGTGTTTGCAACAAGTACCTGTGATGCTACAAGCATTTTTCTGTTTGTGTTTACTGCTACTGTACTGTACAAATAATCGTGATGGCTTCTGCTACATACAACACTTCTGATGACCCTGCCTTGGCTACAGTAAACTTACTTTTGATGGCTTGTGCTAATAATGTTATACAGTATTAATGGTCTCTACTACAAATTACTTGTAAGGGATCCTCCTACAAATAATTATGGTTTCTGCTGCAAATAGAGAATTGATGACTGTCTTGTGATGGTCCCTGGTACGATTTACCTAGCTGTGAAGACTCTTACTAATTCATACTGTACAGTACATGTGATGGATCCTCTTCCACTTTGTATGGGGTTGCTACTGTTCACATACATTCGGATGTGGTTCAACCACTGCTACATGCACTTGTGATGGCTTCTGCTACATGTGTTTTGGGTGACATCTGCTAAAATTACTTGTGTTGGCATCTGCTACAAGTGCTTGGGTTGGTATCTGATACAAGTGCTGTAGATGGCACCTGCAACAAGCACTTGTCGTGGCATCTGCTACACAGGCTTGGGGTGGCATATGATACAAGTACCGTACTGTACTTATGTTGGCATCTGCTACAAGCGCTTGTGGTGGTGTCTGCTACATATATTTGTAATTAAATTTCTCTTGCTTTGAATACTTGTTGTAATGACAGCCTAATCCAGTTACTGTCACTCAGATCATAATCATTCACTATTAATTTTTTTTGCAGTACTGTATGTTTTTTCACAAGTATTACTATAGTATTTTCATGTACTGTAATATGTTTTCAGTAACTGGTATTGGTAAATTAAGCCCTAATATTCATTATTTATTATCACAACTATCACTTTTGGTTTTGTCTGCAACTATATGTTCTTGAATAAATAAACTACTGTATTTTATCTTCATATAAAAAAAATACTACAGAATATTCTCTCTTATATTAGCTGCAGTGTTAGTGTGTTTTGTAATTTCGTTTTCATTTATTTTGTCTTAAGAAAATATTCAAGGACACAAAAAAATACATACAAATAGACAGAAAATTATGCAATCATTAACAACCCAATGGTATAACCAAAAAGCAAGACTGTCGTGGCTCTCCAAGGTTGAAAATACTGTAATACAGGTCTCCCTCCAATTAAAAACCCCTCAAATTAAAGGCCACCTCTAATTTAAGACCACTTTCTGTGGTCCTGTTCTTTTAACATTTGCTATTTGCTCCCTTTTTTTAGTTGTAAACCCAGGCATCATCATCATCACTTTTTAGTTGTAAACCCAGGCATCATCATCATTATTATCACTGTTGTAGTCATCTTCGGTGTCACTGTGAATAAGATAAGTGTGTGCATAGACAATACCGTAGATACATCTCCAATAACCAATTACCAAAAATGCATCTGCTTGAGCTTTTTAACCCTTCGACTGACTTGAAGTGACTACATTCCCTGGATCCCAAGTTAACCTGTCATCAGAAACATTCTGGCCCCACAAATGTGATGCAGACGATGGAGCTTAATATTGGACAGCGAAAATTGTGTTTCTTGTGTTTTACAAAGACAATTAAATAGCAGAAGATAGAGCAGCCTCGCGATATATTGGAACGTCAGGTGAAAATGCATTGTGGGAGAACAAAGAGCAATTTTATCCTGGCCGCGCCGCAGCGCTATATATCAATAATAAAGGCTAGGCGCCGCTTTGGTTTGTTTGTTTCCTGCAGTTTTATCCACTTAGTCAAATGGACTAATTTTAGCCCGCTTGCGGGAGGGCGGATGTCCCATCAATTTTAATGCAGATACTGTACGTGGAATAATTCATTCTGCTATTTACGTTCTTCAGTTTTAATTATAGAAAATTGTCTTCCCCTGAGTATTGCATGAAAAGCATAAGCGTCCCTTTGTGTGAAGTAGAATGAATTCTCAATTTCAGTGCGACATAAAAGTAGTCGTAAACAATATTGATTGCAATTCGTCAGTTTATTGTTTGATTTAATTCGCTATTAACATTTATAGAAGAGCTATCAAACGCGGGTTGATTTTATCTTTCATATAGCATGTTAAAAAATATTCTTGATAACTATAAATGAAATGCGACATAATTTCAAATATGCAATATTTTTGTTTCCAATATAATAATAAAGTGCTGTAAATAGATTCGTACATAGCTACATCAGTTGAAAACATATAAAACAGTGCAGTATTGTAGTAGGCATAAATGTATTTAAAATATGCATGTAAGTATGTGTGAGGGTATGTATGAATGAATCCTACGAAAGCTTTACCAAAATTAACAATACCTAAAAAATAGTAAAGTAAAAAAAAATTTAGGGAAATCCTGTGTATACCAGTCTTACTTGACAAATTGGTAAATTATTATGCTATGAGTTTTGTGCTTTCAATATTATTGTTACTATTCATTCGATAATTATTATTTGATGGTTAGTAAGTAAAGCATCTTTCTGGAGTGTCAATCGACAATTGACCAATCAGAGCAGGGCTAAGAATACGTGCTTGTCATACAAATTTGCGGTGTCCCACAAACTCACATTTTTCCGTATACTTAAAGCCGGTTTTACACTAAGCGAATTTATTCTGCTAGAATAATCCAAAGCTTCCTGGGCTCTGGTTGGTTGCGCATTTTTTTTGCTTCACAGAAATTATAAAACACGCTTTCGATTCGCTCGAATAATTCACCTGGTGTAAAACCGGTTTTCAAGGAGGAGGTTCCACCAGGCTCAATATTCGCGTGACACGAAAGGTTTTGTCTATGATGTTTTGAATCACTCATGCGTGACCGTCGTTAACGTTCTCGCATGCGCAGATGACTTTTAGTGACGTCATTACGTTCTACGCCCTACCGTCGTCGTGCAATCAAAATCTCCTTATTGGCCTTTGAACCAATGGGCCATGCTTTGGGTCAAAGTAATAGTTTACGCTGTTATAATGCTAAAATGCAAATATAATAATAATACAAAAAAAATAAAATACTTCATTTATACCAAATATTATTTAATCAAATATTTGTTTTTATATATTTTTTGAAATTTAAATTTGCAATCTACGTATCTTCATCTCAGTGGTTAAAGTAATAGTTAACACTGTTATGATGCTAAAAGAAAATAAAATAATGCTAAAAGAAAAAAAAATAATACAAAAAAAAAAAAAAAACAAACACCCAAATTACATTTGAAAGGGAAGACTTTCACTAAAAACTTAGTAACTAAGCAAAAAAGTACTTGAGTTTATTTAATTAAATATGTTTTAATAATCTTTTCTACGTATCTTCATCTCGGTGGTTTTCAATGAATAGGTATGTTTCTTCCATGTATACCAAGATACTCCAGTAGCCCATTTTTTTCTTTCTGCTATTTTACCTTCAAAGTAGCAGCCGTTCAAATTGGACAAATGGCATTGCTCGTACCACCACCCACCAAGGTATTCTTTTGCGCATGAAGTTGGTTTTTTATCATTGTCATTGTCAATTGTTGAAAATTTCATATTACGGTGTTTTACGAAAGAATCACCTATAAGGGAAACATAAAATTATTTTATTTGATGAATTCACCTAGCTGTATCCCATTTAGTGATGGAACCACTAAGTTAAAACATCACTTCGTCTCTGTATGTATACCATTTAATTATAAGCAATAAGCAAACATCTCATTGAGCCCTTAACTCCTGATGATTAAATTGTGTGGTCAAATATATTTAATATAGGCCTAACTTTATTTTTCAATGTACAAATAGAGAAATTTGGGTTGGCTTTGTGTAATGCAGAAATGAAAAAAAAAAAATCACAACTACAAATATATACACATTCGTGTGCAAACCTATAATACAAAAATAGTCATGCACCCGACTGGATATGAAAATATAATAGTAATAATAATGATAATAATAATAAGAATAATAATAATAATTATTATTATTATTTAATATTATTATTATTATATAATAATATAATATTAATTATTAATGAATTAATTAATAATGGATTGATAATTATTATTAATATATTATTAATTATATAATAATATATAATTTCTGCAAATATTGTTAGCTTATAAGCCTACCTGGAGATTTAGGAGCGCCTGTGTAATTACCGACTATCAGTTTGTACTGGCTCTTCTCATCACCAATTCGAAAGTAATTGTAGGGTGCATGTGTCTGTTCCCCCTTATTCCAAGTTGACATGTCAACTCGGAATTCGTAGTGGCCTGAAGATGAAAGCCGATAGATCTTGTCATTGCCAAGCCAGTGCTCACCATTGACGTTCCCAAACCCTAATTTGTATTCAGACCAGTTCCTAGTGAAATTGAGTGATCCATCTTCTCGTCTTTGGAAAACCTACAACATGAATAAAATAACAACAATCGGAAAGTACAATCTGTTAATAGAATGATATTGAAAAGCACATAATTTAAATACATAAAAAAACTCCTTTAAAATCCATTTAAGACGCTATATATAAATAATATAGGAATTTATGCTGTGCCTTTTTCCAAGGAAATCAGTGAAGTTGTATTCGCAAATTTTACACTTTAAATGATGAGTGATTCTAAAAATAGACCTATATAAACCACCAATAGCCCGTAAAAATAAGAAACTTTCCTAGATCTATTAAACAACAACAGTGCTGACTAGGCGACGATGCAAAGGTTATGTATGTGCACCACTGATCTCTACTATAATATAGCTGATCGTACCGGTCGTACCTGTTTAGACAAGTTTCTTTTGGCATTTGTTTAAATTATTAAAAATAACTATTCTGCAATACTTTTTAAAAATATAGTCGCGTTGTTTTAGTAACGTCGATCACTAAAAACGCAATTTTGCTTCTGCTTTTTTTAAATACTGCATTAAACATTCACTTTTAGTAGGCTACAACATAGTCTGATAAGCAATCCAGCTTCTTAAAATAGAAATCAGTGGGATTCTAGGATGCCATTTGATCAAATCTACGTTGCGCAAATCGAAGCATTAGATAACATGTGTTTCACCAACCTCGGAAGCAATCTTGACCTATTTTAACTGTAATGGACAGCAATTCTGACCTATAAGTGTTCCTTATAACACAAATGACCACTATCACAACATTTTACTATAACACATTGGGCCTACTTTAATCAGAAACAACGCATAATAAATAACTTTGCACTAAGCAGTTTAAACTTGATGCTGTTGAAACATTATTTTGGACCCTTACAAGGCTTTATACCGTCAACCATTTAATATAAGCTACATCATACATCAATTAAATGTCATAGGCCTATAAGATGTTCAGAAGCTTTTTTTCACATGGACGAAAACAGTATTATTGAAGGGTTGGAACCCAGACATTAACCGGATTAGTGAATTCTGTGAGATATAATCTTATTGCGATTAGTGCGCGCCAAACCAAATTAAATTGGCGTCCTTTTTGGTAGTTCCTAAATACAACGGGTTCAACCGAGGGGCGTGGCTGCGTATGTTGACGTCACGCATAATTTCACTCTAAATTAACTCACTCGTTGGTGGCGCTCTCCAGAATGAGAATAATAAGGGATTTAATTGCAGCAAGTCTAAGGTCAATACTTTCTCTTCTTGTCTGTTTCTATAAATGATGTTTTTAATATTGTTCAACATTGCTAATGACACGGATTAGTTTTTTTTTTCAAACAATAATGATAATGTTTTGTACGAAAGCCTATTAGGGCCACTAAAATATATATTTTTATGTCGTAATTACGACTTATGTCGAAATTTCGACATACGTATATCGTAATTACGACTTATGTCGAAATTTCGACATAATATGTCGAAATTTCGACTTATTATGTCGTAATTTCGACATAATAAGTCGTAATTACGACATACGTATGTCGTAATTTCGACATATTTATGTCGTAATTACGACATAGGCTTGGGCCACTATTTATATGTATATCTCTAAAGATTTTAAAAATCAATCTTGATTACTAAAGTTAAGGATTTTCAAAAGAGTTGAAATGTACATGGGCAATACAAAACGGTGAATGAAAATTGGTGGATTTTGTTTAAATACGGTATACAACATTAAAAAGTCAATTTAATGCTAACATTAATTATTCAGGTATCAGAATATATTTATTTTTAAAAGTAATACAATTGGGAAAAAGTCGTCCGGCCAAAGCATGTGCGGCCGGTGTGGTTCCGATGGCCCTGCGTCAGTGGTGGGGATATTTGCCATTGGGGTTTATATTGTTTTTCTGATTTAGTTTGTATTGTAAAGTACATATCATATCTCCGCCCATGATTAACGTGTACTCATTTTTACCGCTTCAAAGGATATTAATTTTATTTTCTAGTTTCTTAAAAATAATGACATTTCTTTGTAGTAATTTGGGGTGTTAACGTTTGTGTGTGTGGGTGGGGTTTTGGGGTGTGGGGGTGTGTGTGTGTATGTAACGTTTTTGTATTTTCGTGTGGTATTTTTGTGTGCTACATATATTATGCACTGACATAAATGAAAATAAGAGGGAGTGTTAGGCATAACCCAGTAAAGATATGATTACATTTTGGTGACGGTCCGTAGTAGGGTGTGGGTGTATTCTATTTGTATCCTTAATGTAAAGCGCCTTTGAACATGAGTACTCATGAAAAGGGCGCTATAAAAATTTGGTAAATAAAAATAAGAAAAAAACAACGATCGCGAGAAAGGCCTCAGAGGTTATTTCAGTCTTTAAAACAAATAAAAAATTTAGCGGGGAATTCCTCTGGATCCCCTGTAGTGTTATCTAGATTGGCTCAACTTTTTTCCTCACCCCCCTTTCTGTCAACCCACCCCCACCCCACTTTCGTCGACATCTCTTGATTCCTAAACAAATTCAAAATGCTTTTACATTTTCAGAATTCAAAATATTTAAACATTTTGTACCGGATAAAATTGCACCGCTGGGAGGCTATCCTTTTACTACGTAGCGTAAAAGGAGTAATTCTAGTTATTATTTATATTATCATTATTAAAACAGTATTTTTATATTTAATTTATTTCTGCCCTGTCATGAAAAACCCACTCAACTTACACATTTTTGAAAATGTACTTTTTAGCTATTTGCTCTTTTGGGGACGTGTATTCAGAATTTTGAAATTATGACTGAAAATATGAATTTCAAAATTAAAATATCACTCAACTGCAAGTCACAACTTTTCAATCGTACATAAGTGAAGCTGACGAGAAACAATACGTACAGTGGCCCAAGCCTATGTCGTAATTACGACATAAATATGTCGAAATTTCGACATACGTATGTCGTAATTACGACTTATTATGTCGAAATTTACAGCATTCCTGTTGTAACTCCCTCCTAAGAATTATGCTATATAGGCATTAAAAACCAAATTACGCTCAGTAAGAGGTTGCTGGTACTACTCCTTGAAATTCCAAGAAAAAAAAAATAGAAAAACAATAAAATTCGATACGTTGTCGTAGAAATTGTTTAAATTGCTCCAACAACAAGAAACTTGGTAGAAAAAAGGAGTCTAAACGGGCCCCGACTTAAAAGAGGCCCCCACCTGTTCTGCTGCTCTCACTTTGTTTGGACAAACCTAAAATAGTCAAATGATGTGATACAGTTGATCCATTGACAGTACCAGGTTTAATTTTGTTGAAGCCATTTAAACAATTTCTACTACAAAATATCTAAATTTCACTGATTTGCTATTTTATTCTTGGAATTTTTAAGTTGAAATTGAGGAAGATAGTTACCGCATGATTGTTGATGGTTTTGCACAAATGCAATTTTATCAGACCTGGAACCATAGCCTAAAACGGGCCCGTTCTGAAAAGGGGCTCGTTTTAGGCTATTGGGTTTTGCACTGAACACGTAGAGCCTGGCCTACATTGAATTGTGTTGTTTAATCGGTTGTTTTTCATAAATATTATAGCTTTGACATATTTCGTCCATTGAGTATTTTATTAGTAGTTTCTTAAACAATATTTAAATTGATTAAATTTGTGGATCAGTTTGCGATCAAATTACATTTTCCCTAAGGGGCCCGATTTATACAACTTTCCACTACTACTACTGTCAATGTATCAACTGTATACAATAATTTGACTATTTAATTTTTTTGTACTAACCAATTGGGGCGGAAGAACAGGTAGGACTCGTTTTAGGTCTGGGCCCATTTTAGACACCTTTCCCTGCACCTCCATTGGTGAAAAATAATGAGTGTCCGGCTTTAGAATAGGGAAGCTGGCGTTCAGCGCATCGGAATCGCGTTCCGAATTTGTGTTCGGATTCGATGCAGCTTAAGTTACAGTTACACTTAAATTAACAGTATGCCATGAACGTTCTATCTTGTAATTGGTGAGTGTACTTGCTTTTTTAGTGTAAGTCAAAAATAAAATAGTACTACTAAACTTACCGTCCATCCACCACCGTCAGTGTCCATATCGCAGTACACTTGGAACGGTTCGCCATCGGTACCACAAGGGAGAATCATGTAGGCTCCACTCTCGGCGTTGGGATATTTTTCATGAATTAAAGTGCAGTCTCCATAAAAATCTAGTAGAACATAAAATTAACCAAAGAAAAAAATGTTACTTAAAGCCCGGCTCCGGATCGAAAAGAAAAACATTTTTTGATAAGTTGTACGACTGATTTTTATAGGACACAAAAAGAATATTTGACCAAAAACTCGGGAGCGGTTATTGAGATACAGATTTTTGAATATTTGAAAACTGGGGGAAAAGGTGGAAAAAGGTGAAAATCAGTTGTAAAAAATATAATATTTTTTTCTTCCGGATCGATCCTGGCTTTAGCTACAATTAACGCGATTTCGGATACAGCAGCAGTTGTTGACAGTACCTGAGGAACAATTCTGTGCTTCGTAGCTTGTCACCTCCTGACTATGCAATAGCGCCAAAGTCACCAAAAGCGTTCCTGACAATGTCCACGTCATTTTTATTCCGTCTACCACACACTTCAGATAATGAAATGATTGTATCAGAGAATTGAAACTCAATAGGCCTATAAGTAGGGCTATGCAAATTTCAGCAATGCTCGAGAAAGGTCCGGATGGATGAGGTTTTGTGGGAGTTTGACCATGCGGTGTATGATTTGATTAAAACATTTATTCAAATGAGGTAGGAAAGTAATATGACAATTAACAATTTCAAACAACATAAAAAAATAGTTCCATATCAGTTATATGAAATGCTTCCGGGAGAAACTGAAACTGCGAACTTAGGGTCAAATTGAGGGCCATACTGCTAGGAAGCCTGTATTGATACACAAATTCAATTCAGCCAGCTCACCCTTCACATGCAACTGTACTTACATGCTCTCACCAAGTGTACCTAAAGTAGTCCAGAGAAAAAGAAAGAAAGTAGCAGAATAAACGTCACTTTGCCCGAGGGGCGGGGGCGATTTCCCCGACGAAAATAAGTGGGCGTGGTCGGGCGTCGCTAAAAATCTCTCGAAAGTGCTCCAGCGAAAAATATGACAATCTTATTTTTAATCGATTTTAGAGTCTACAATGTGTAGAAAATACATATATATTTATTTTTCCCCGGCGAATTATGGTGTTTCTTCCCCGACGGAGAGGGGAGGCAGGTTGACCTGGCTTCCGGCCTTCTTACGCTGCCGCCACCCCTGCACTAAATTAAAGTTATGCATAATCCTGTGATAATAAACAAATAGATAAATGACAGAAACATCATTGGCGTTACGATCAATATTGCTCCAACGAACAAAATCAGTGTCAAGATATCGTATTTGCACTGAAGAACCTAAAATATTACAGTTGGATAGTAACTTCTTTTTATGCTTCCGATTTTTTTTATAAAGTTGTTTGTGATAATAAATATTTAAGTAACGAACCAGAAACAAATTGGTTTCTACTAACAGCTGTTAACAATAAGTATGTTAATATTTTATCATCTACTATTTATTGATTGAATATATACATTTGAATAATTCATTAAATCTATGGTTATTATTATTTGTACTTCGAATAATGTACACATTGTTTATTAGAATAATATCTATGTTAATAATTTATTATCTACTGATAGGCCTATATTGGTTGAACTTTTACTTCGAATAACGTACATTGTTAGGAACAGGCAGATTAGGTTTGCCAACTTTTGAAAAAAATATGTTATTAAAAGTAACAATTTCTGCTAAAGGATAGATAAACTATGAAAAAGTTAGGTTTTATTAAGTACTTAAAAATACTTATAAGAATGAACATGACAGATTCTTCGTTTGAACTGCGTATGTCCGTATCAAGGTCATAAACAAACATAAACTACAACAACAACAACAACAACATAGATTTAAAATGTCGATTTACCTCGATTGACCATGGATACGGTCATGTGCAGTCCAGAAGAGTCTGGGTCACAGGTCAAGGTCACAATCGATGAAAAACTACACTCCGGGTATTCCACTCCCCCTCATTTTGGTCGCCCCCCCCACATTTTAATACTGTTAGATACGCCACTGCCTCAGCCAAATCGGCCTGAAAAATGATTTATTTTTCAATGTCGCGCGGGCTGGATTCAAAATCATTGGCGGGCAGGAGTTGGCCCGCGGGCCGGGGGTTGTATGCCAGGGCCATACAGCCAACATTTTTTAAAAATAAGAAATACGTCAAGCTTGGTCACAATGCTCTATGATCAACAATCTAAAGATGAATAAATTTTGAAAGGTTCAGAGTCAAAGGCCAAGGTCACGATCGACGAAAAACTACTTTAATTATATAACAACCTACAGTGCACAGATTTCATCAGAAACTTGTCAAACTCTGCCACAATATTCAATGACTAAAATTCTGAAATTGGCAATATTTATAAGTGTTGAGGTCAAAGGTCAAGAGAACAATGGACGAAAAACTAGTTTTTTAAACCGTCTGCCGTGTGGACATGTGTTTGTGTGCTTACGGGGTTTGCCATAGAAGTGTAACAAAGTAGCATTCATTTTACAGCGATTCGTGTGAAAAAAGTTTTGTGTAGTGGTTAGAAGAGTGTTTTCCACACTACTAGCCCCGGATTCGAATCCCATGATGTCTAGTTGATCGTTTTTTTTTTATTTAAATAATTATTTTTATTATTTCCCGTACTACTAAACATAACATCTTATTACTGGTCAAGCCATTTAGGCATCAGCACTGCACTGAATACATTTTTTTTCATGGGGATAATTACGTGGGAAAATTATACAGAGGAGAATTATAATGTGGGCGGAGGTATGCACTCTCAGGGTGCCCTCTGAATATTTTTCGAATAATGTTCACTATCATCTATCGTTTTCCTTTAACCATAAATCTGTTTTGTGTAATCCCCTTCTTACTCCATCCGTTCCACACTGTTTTTTCTGTCTGAATATTTATATTTTAATTAGGAAGGCCTCTAAGCTATGTCTTTATAAACTAATATTATATACGGTAGTAGGTTTTATTTCAATGTGAAGGCCCCATAGGCCTATATTACAAAGCAGTTTGATGTGCAAGATAGGAACAGAATACATTCAGTATTCATTAATACGGTAATGTTTCTATATGTTTTTATCTCAATATCACATCATAGGTTTGAACTTTGATATAAATACATATAGCAATATACTATTATCTTGCAGATACACACACACACACAAAAATAACAATAACAATAATAATAATAATAATAATAATAATAATAATAATAATAATAATAATAATAATTGTCGACTTATATAGCGTATATGGAATGACCTCTAATCAGCGCATGGTTGTGTTTGAACCTACCAGGAAACCACTTGTACTCCTGCACTTAGCATTATTTCCCCCCGATCATTGGATCAAGCACTATATTATGGAACACACACTCAGGCCCCTTGAGGGAATTCCATAAAGTTGCAGCTGTAATCAGCGCATGGTTGTGTTTGAACCTACCAGGAAACCACTTGTACTCCTGCACTTAGCATTATTTCCCCCCGATCATTGGATCAAGCACTATATTATGGAACACACACTCAGGCCCCTTGAGGGAATTCCATAAAGTTGCAGCTGTAATCAGCGCATGGTTGTGTTTGAACCTACCAGGTACCCACTTGTACTCCTGGGTGGAGAGAGACAAAAATAGGTGTGCCTTACCCATTTACACAAACGACTTGCACAGCGAGAGTTTCCAACCCCCGATGCGCCAACCGCTTCTATAGTATATTCAATAATATGAAATCTGATTTTGAAGTTCCTACATTACAAATGAAATACAAAATAGAATATGTTCAAATATTTGCGAATCAAAAAGAAATTGGTTTCTACCAACTGCTGTTAGTAATATACATGTTAATTGTTCTGTTATTTTATTTACCTATTGTTTTGAATAATTCATCTTATTTATGATCTCCATACAAATGACTGAGAAACAAATTAACATTTCCAATTGCTATTGACAAAAATCTATGTTATTAAAAACACATAAATTTATTATTAAATTAATCATTTTGAATATGTGCTTGAATATTTCAATGACGCTACAATCAGCGCACCGATTCGCACGCATACTGCCAGGACAGATGAACTTGTAAAAGTGAGACTTAATTTAATATGATTAATTATTGAAAGAATGAACTGTCTCCATCAATGAATCTTGTTACACTATAGAAGTTCCTACATTAATGAAATACAAAATAGAATACCGGTATGTATTGTCTATGCAAGTTTTACTGTTGTTATAAGTGTTCAAATATTTGAGAATCAAAAAGAAATTGGTTTCTACCAACTGCTGTTAGTAATATACATGTTAATTGTTCTGTTATTTTATTTACCTATTGTTTTGAATAATTCATCTGATTTATGATCTCCATACAAATGACTGAGAAACAAATTAACATTTCCAATTGCTATTGAGAAAAATCTATGTTATTAAAAACACATAAATTTATTATTAAATTAATCATTTTGAATATGTGCTTGAATATTTCAATGACGCTACAAGCAGCGCACCGATTCGCACGCATACTGCCAGGACAGATGAACTTGTAAAAGTGAGACTTCAATTTAATATGATTAATTATTGAAAGAATGAATTGTCTCCATCAATATTCGAAAACACCGATTAGGCCTAACTTACTCAGATTTATGTGTTATTTCTTGAAGGTTTGCTTGGCGAACTAATAATATATTTGTTGCTTGCGGTACACCACGTGATGGTTCTGAAAAGAACTTTCTTATAGGCCAACTTAGACAGCGTCGTACGGCGCAGCTCGAAGTGATTTGTTTTCCCGTCTGGTCTGTGTGAGTTCAACGCAGACGAGATGGTTTGCGTCGGGGGGGTTTGCGTCGGGGGGGGGGGGCAGTCGCGTCGTAGAATATTAAACATGTTTAATATTTCTTACGACGGCTTAAGACTGTCCGCTGTCTGAGTTGGCTCCCTCGTTTTTCTTTCTTTTCTGTCGAGTCTAATTCTTCCTATCTGACCAATTTTCCCGCCCTTTGTTGTTATATTTGTGTGTTATTACATTATAATAATATTTATTGACATTACACTTTTACATCAGTGGCAGCACACAAGAAAGTGGCGCAGTCAAACTTAAACTAATGAACAAAGAGTAAAACAGCAACTTAAAGCTAAACAAATGAAAGAACTTATGAACAAAGAGTAAAACAACAACTTAAAGCTAAACAAATGAAAGAACTTAACGAAAGAAAATACAACTTAGATCTAAAATAAATCATAAACATCCCTCACCCTCCCAGATGTGTATAAGAGACGGTATACATACAGTACACATATACATATATATACACACATATACATATAAATACATACATACATACAAACATATGTACACCCATATATACATACACATACATATACACACATATATACATATACACACACATACACACCCACACACACATACATATATACAAAGCGTTATAAAAGTATATAAAAGAAATTAAATTTAAAACATAAAAAGAAATATATGTATTACTAAAGCAACAATGCATTTAAACTATTTTTAAATTTGATCTTCTATCCCAAGCTTTTTTAGCAAATGTTTTACAATATCTGTCAAATGCAGATTGAACATCATCATTAAAGAGATTATTCCCCCCCCCCCCCAAGAACAAAATGAATTTTATCATCAATATCAGATTCTAAGAAAGTATTCCAAGTTGCAGTCTCATTGCAAAGTTCAAGGTCTTGTTTTAAAATAGCTAATTCTGCTTGTTTATACAATAGAACCCCTATAATAAAGAGGACACTCTTGGGACCTAAAAAGTGTCCTCTTATAATAGAGGGTGTTCCCTGGGTGTTTTGCCACGTAGACCTAGTCATAAAATGAGGACAGAGATTCTTTAATCTTATATAAGAACGAGTTATAATATAATAAATTGTAATAATACTCTGTGATAAAATCAAAATAAATCTAATTAAAACAACAAAAGATGTACAGTACTATATTGTGCCAGATTCCAGTATATGACAGATACAACAGAATTAATAGAGTAATGATTGGATCGGTGTGATGGTTACGGTATGGATTTGAATCATAGGCCTATATGAAAGTACACAAGAAAAATAATGTGTCAAATCTTATATATGAAAATATGAAGGAAAAACAAAAGACCCCATGATTAATTTAAAAGGAGCACTCACATATGGTCGTATATACCGATATCCATTTAAGAATCAAGTAAAATTTTAAATAGCATATTGTTATTTTGAATAACTTGTACTTGTAGTGATACAATAAAATAAAACAATTAGTGATACAATAAAAAAATAAAAAGGTGTCCCCTTTAATATACATTGAAAATGAATTGATTTGACCGTTTGGCACACTCAAAAAATGTCCCCATCCACTTAAGCGTGGTTGGCCGTAGTGTTAAAAGATACATATACCCTCCGATTTCATGGAAAAGTGTGAGGTGTTCCCTGAATCTGNNCGAGGGTGGGTGGGGGGGGGGGGTTCTACTGTATTTTGTAATGTGAAGGCCCCCATATGTTTTTTTGATGTGCAAAACAGAAAGCAAAAAAACATTAAATATTCCTCAATAATGTTTTTGTAAGCTTAATTATCCTAATAAATATGACATCATAAGTTTTAACTTTATACTATAGTATATTGGCGCTATCTGGGGAGGGAGGGGGTTACTGAGGTCCATATTCTCAAAATTTTCGCACCTCAGCCCCAACCACGTTAGGGCTGAGGTAGGCGTAATGTGGACTCTCACTCACTCGTGGAAGCAGATCATGGAGGAAGGGGTACACCTCTCTCACTTTTCGTGAGTCAAGATGATATGCCTGAAAATTGTTGAAATAAACTGCATAGATGACCTAGCTAGGGTTTTAACGAAAAAGCGCTCTACAGCCAGAGTACATCTTATTTTATAGCAAGATGCCGGTATCTGCCCACAAACATCTGAATTACCTATAAGCGACTCAAGTGCGCGTGCCTTTATTATAATTTGAGAAGTAGGAATATGAGAAAAGCGTGCAAAAAGATTGGTTTTCGGCACGTGAAGTAGAGTGAAGTAAATACACCAAAGAAAGTTTTATTTGCGGTACTGGTACATCACAGCGATTCAGATGGACGATGATGAATTTTACTATGTAAGAGTGTCATATCCGGTAATGAGGTACATTTCCCCAATTTTTACTGGCCAGCCCCACCACAGTTGGGGCTGAGATGCGTATGGACTCGTTTGAGATGATTGTGAAGTTTTGAAGTAGGTAAAGTGTTAATATGTTTTTAAACTTCCGACGAAGTAGAGCTCTTTCTTCGTCGAAGTTTCAAAACATATTAACACTGAGTTTCCGGGGTCACAGCCAATTTGATAAGGCTAAAATCCAACTGTGGAACCAGTGGTTTGAGAGAGGGGTCAAGGAAGCAATCTACTGTAGGCCTACGCCAGGGACAACAGAGTTGAATGGAGATATAATCTTCCAAACATATGGAACAACACCTTCATTACAAAATACAATGCATCTCCCACCCTTAAATCAAACTATGATTCCTCAACAGTGGTGATGTTACTCCGCTAACTTAGTGACCATCATTATTCCAACCTAAGCAAACTATGCATACGATTTTATAAAATTAAAAACAGTACAGTATAATTATGGCAGTGCAGTAATCAGATCACTTTATTTTATTGATATGCAGGCCTATTCATTCTATGAATGTTTAGCTAAACAAAGTATAATAGGGGCCTACGACTACGGTATAACTAGCGTAAATAGAAAAGAAAAATTTTGTCACTTCATACTTCGAGCCATAGTATTTATTTTATCTGAAATTTAAGGAAACAGTATTTTATACATATAGGCTAGGCTAAGATAAGAATACTGTTAAAAGTGTAAACAGTTGTAGTAGAGGCCTCCTATTAGTTTGGTCGGAATAATTTCGGAACAATAGACAGTAGGGATCTTTGATGGATATCGCACTCCATTGAGGGCGGTATTATTTTATTATGATTGAGCTGATTTTGACTCCAGAAGAACACATGGTAATTTTCCGTAAACATTATATTAAACTAACTAAAGTCTTAGCCTATGTTTATTTATATTGTGAATTTATTCAAATACCAACATATTTACTCTAGAATACGCCAGTTGGTGGCAACATAGTGTAGATATAGGCCTATATCTACCTGGGCCCCTCGGCCTTTCCAGTCCTAGGCCTATCTAGGAGTACTACCCATCTATTTTTTATGGATAGGCCTACCCTATTGCCTAGCCTAGGCTCTAGCCTAGATAGATGGGTTGTGTGTTAGGCGACGGGACGGACCTCCCTCCAGACACCAATGGTAGTAGTATTCCCACAATAGGTAAAGTGTATATATCACATTTATATTTTCAAGTGAGCGAAAAACTTTCGTAGAAATAATGTACTGTATTTCTGTAGGCCCTAGCCTATACCGTCCGTGGGAAGGGTGTTCGATCATTTTCTGCCGCCACGCCAAATGTATGGAACGCCAAAGAGGCCGCCGAATACAAACATATATAATTATAACAATACAAAACATATAATTAACCATTAATCAAGCTAGTTTTAGACAGAATTTATTTTCCCTCATTGTCTAAAGAACAAATTAAAATCATTATCATGATAAATCAGTTTCTGCACTCATGTATGGTCTAGGCTGGCCCTCTTTCAATGAATTAACATCATTCCAGTCTATGTCTAGGCTATGAATATATGTGTTGTTGTTTCTTCAAGTCATTAAACCCCACTCAAAAAGGGTAAACCCTCACACTGCATGCATTGCTGAATTTTTATGGACATATTTACCAGTAGAAATATTTCAATTGGGAGAACACTACCAATGAAACTTAATGGTCAATTTTTATTAGTTTTATACAGAACGTAACACGATGAGACAGTTATGACCAATCATATTTTTGATGAAAATGTTCCCAGTCTACAATCATAGAGGGCGTCATGTCTTCAAACACTCAAAGAGACTGGAGATCAATTCATCAGTCGACCGTCATACCACGTAATATCTTCTGGTCTTTAAATCATAAAATTGTTGTTTGCATTGTTTTGTATATTTGCAGAAAGCATTTAAGGAAGAATAGGTGATTACCAAATTTGGTGATGACCAATGAAGCAGGAAGACAGCTGACAAATGAAGCTGAAGAACTAGTTTTGAAACAATTAAAAAAATCTTTTAAGATTGTCAAGATACAGGGAGCGCAATGGAAAGAAACCAATGATAAATGTAATCCCTTAATTCAATCGCTGCTTAACTTAGCTGAGCAACATTCATGCTGTCAGAAAGCGTGCCAAGCAGGCAGTAACCCTGTGGTTCAACGGTTCCCAGACTTACCAGGCAAGCTCAATTCTTCATTACTGCATTCCATGGAACTGGTGATGATGCAACTCAGAGAAAACATGTAAGAAAATAGAGTAATTTTGTTATGTTTTGCTGTAATTGAGAAAAATGGTAAAACCGTTGAAAAAATAATGACAAAAAAAAAATTAAAAGGAAATCCACGTCTGATAAAATTTGAACATAAGGGCACAAAGAAAAAATTATTAGATTATCAATCTTTTTAAATTAATGAGGGAGGCCGTTTTTTTTTTTTATAATCGGAACAATAGATTATTTTGCTTTTGTTTTTATTGAAGAGGATGGGACTGTTTATATTTGGTCTGTAATAGTAAATATATTGTATAAAAACTGGTTTAATTTTATAGTTTTTTAAAGAAAATGTATTTGAAGTCACAAAATTGCATTGTTATTTTTATGCTGTTGAAATAATTGATGTGGGAAAAAAATTTTTTTTTTTTATTCCCACATCAATATTTCCCGAATTTTTGACGCGGACGGGAGTGATAATCTAATAAATTTTTCTATTTGCCCTAAAGCTGGGCACTCACTGCGTCTTGGGACTGTTGTCGGCGAATCCAACTCTGCTCACTGTTAGTGGTAGATGACATGGCGTTGTTTACTGATTGCTAGTGACACTCTGAACCATAGGCCTAGCCAGCAAGCTGTCCGGCCGTCTTTTGGACGGCCAACAATTTTTCAGGACAGCCACTTTAACTGTGACGGCTTGGACGGCTCGTACTAATCAGCTCGGCCTAGCCTAATTGAGCCTGGTCTACTTTTAGAAAATTCTTTATATTCTTCAAATCTATTGAATGTTACATTAAACTAAAGCTAAATCATATTTGATAAAAACAAAATTTATTGATTGAATGTACGCTGTTTTCATACCAGTATTCGGTGGGGATTTCCAAAAATATAAGGCTTAAACCATTCTCTACCAGGTGAAAAGTTCACTTACAAAATGCGTCGTGTTAAAGACATTTATACTCTGCTAGAAAATGGACGGTTCCGAGTCGCCCACAACGCATGCACATGGCCCTGCAAATACAATACTTGAGATTCGGTTCCCCGACATAATATTGTTGGTGTTCGTAACTCTCTTGTTATAATTAATTCATGAAATACCATAAAGAAGATTTGTTGTTAACCTCACAAGTTAAATTTTATTAGTCAATAAACTACAGTTGGTCTAGCCCTATCTCTCGATTCGAGGACCTAGAGTAGAATTTACACTAGACTAAGGTGAGAGATGACGATGCATCTGCATAGCCTAGAAATTCTGTAGCCATGCGCAGTCTATGTGTATAACTGAAATATCTTTGTGAAAGCTAATTCAACACTATTTCTTTGAGGACAAAATTCCAACATTTAAACATTTTTAAATGCCCTCTAAAAAGCATAATTTTCTATTTTTTTTCTTATGTTTGGGAGGGGGTGTGGCCCGTCCATCAGCTCAGGCCAAGCCTACTAGCTTCCATTTTAGATGGCCTATTTCATTTTTCTGGCTAAGCTCCTGGTCTGAACAGATTGTCATTAAAAACAACATGTCATGGTGTTGGGTTTTCCATAGAATCACATTGGCTGACGACGGTTGGGAGCAGTACGTGACCAGACCAATAGCTTACTGTAGCATTTTAGCATTCAGTGTTGCTGAAAGCTGTCAGTAGCGATTTTATAAAAACCAAGCTCCACCTAGAAATGTGCAAATCATTTTATACTTTTATTCTAATTTGTTTATAACTGTATATTTTATACTTACTGTATTGTTTTAGGTAAAAAACTAAATAAATAAAAAAATATATCAATCTTGTTTGGTGACCATAAAAATACCATTAAATTCTAGATGTATTTACTTTTACTATTGTATTGCTACTAGGCACAGTCTGCAAGAAGCACAAAAGAAGGTAAGTAGGCAGTACAACAACAGCATGGAAGTGTACAACAGACATCAGACTATCCTAGGCCTAGACAGAGTGCTTCGCAGATCGCCGACTTGCCCGGCAATTTCAGATATGCTTGAGTGGCTAGCAGATCTGGCAAAAATTTTTGCCCAACAGTATCCTTTTACACAGTGACAACAGATTCTGTACGATTAACCTCTGCCTAGACTATGAGATTTTAATGACAAAAATATGTCTAAATATGGTCATGATGACATCACATCATGACCATATATAGGCACAGTCTTACACAACAGGTTTTGTCAAATTTGATAGCATGGACAGAGGGTGATTGTGGGTGATTGTGTGGATGGGATACACAAATTATTTTACATTTCGAAGCCAAATAAATCTTTCTTTACACTGAATTATTTTATTATTTCAATATATACTTGGTTAGTATTTATTCCATCATTAATTTTAATATTTTTGGCTTGGCAAGCTTGCCATCGTTCTGTTGTGGTGCCTATGAGGCCTTCCTAGGGTCTTCAAAATACTTATAGGGATTGTAGTTTGAGGCCTATCCTATTTCAAGTATTACTGAAAATACTAAATAAAAATTTTTTTTAAAATTCCAACCGACCGACGATCTCAATTTTTTCCTTATAAGGGCAACACAGCAATTTTTGCACATTGTACAATATATGCACATAATGACTATATGTGGACTGTTTTTTTGGCAGATAATTTGATTTTGTGGCAGGTTAAGCAGTTTGAATCTCAAAAAATTTAGGTTTAAACTGAGGGTTGAGGGTAAAGTTCAGACCGTTTTTACTGCCTCATTATGCTGAATTGAATATGACTTCTTCAACACGTCTGTTTTTTTTTTGGGCTGCAACATGGTTATATCCATAGCTAGCTGATTTCATGGAGCAATTGAGTAAAGGAGACAAAACATGAAAATATCGCACTTTTGTGAGAGATGGCTTAGTTACTGGAGAATTAATGCTTACTCACGAGAGTGTGACAATTTGTCACATGTGAAACTGGTATAGGTCCCAACAAGGTTACATTAGGGGAATGGATGTGAACCCAGGACCCTGGGAATGGATGGCCAACATTTTAACCCTAAGCTACTCTACACCTTTGACTTATTCATAAATATACTTCATGCTTATTAAAGTATTACGATTTCCTTTACTGCTATTTTAAACAGATTAGCTTTAAGAAACATACACCTGGATAAAATTAGATATGAAGATGAGGATGCTATTAAGAGCTTGCTGGCTCAATTTAAGGATGAAACAATTACAAATTATTTACAAGGTGACTATCGAATCAAATTAAATGGTTTTTTTTGTTTGTTTTTTTTCAGGAAATATACAATTTAAATAATTGCCATGAAAAATGAAAATATATTTTGGCATAACACAAAAGAAAACAAAAAAATTTAATAAAGGTACACAGAAACTGCTTGAAGAAATTTTAAAATATTTTCAGTGATGTTTTACATTTTTTATGTAGGTAACATTTTAAAGATGGGATTCTTCCTGGAAGGTGAATGAAGCAAAGAACATAGAATGGCAAGAGGTCCGACTGACAGGGGGTTTACTTGAAACAAAATCCTATCTTGAAAAGTACTACCATGATCTAGAGGGCGTCCTTTAAGAAGAAAGATACACAGTACGTGTGAAAGTTATTCTTATCGGACATGTGCTGCTTATAGAATGCCTGTTGAGATGAACTCTCACTAATAAACACAATTGGCGACTGGAGTCACATGACCAGTAGTCCAGTTTTAAACAGAAACAGCAAGCGACAGTGTAGAAAAATGCATGGCTGCTTGGAAGCACCTTAAATACCATACTAGAACATTTATTATTGATTGTACAAACATGAATAGAGAAGTTGATGTAATTGAGGGAAATTGCATTATACACAGTTGCATCTTAGAAAAGGAAGATAAAATCAAAATTAAAGTCGTTTTATGGTTAGAAGATATTGCATGAAATACAAGCGTGCATTAGAAATTAAAGGAAGAATAACTACATACGCACACATACATATATATGCAGTATATCTACTATCAATACTTATACATTTTTAATGTTGTGGGAATCACACTGCGATATTAGCTTTTATATTTATAAATGTACTGTACATGCATGGGTCAGTCCATCATGGCTGGCTATTGTTTCTCGATATATACATATACTAAAGAGATGATTTAATTTAGGGAAGAAAAGGTCAAAGGACAAGGTCAAGGTCGCATATTGTTTGATGAGGCACAGGGCTGGGAGGTGTGTGGCACTCTATAGAGTGACTGCTTTATTTATCAGTGAAGAACAATAATGTTCGGCCTATAGAGTACCACAGTCGTGTCGTCACAACACCAGGTGTCGCCCTCTAGACGTTGATTACCGTTCGTTACACCTGAATGACTTCATAATCTTAATGGTTTAGAATAGGCTTTCTGGAATAGGCATTTTAAAACCTAATAATTTACCATCAAAATGTACTAAAACATAAATGATATGGTCCTTGCTGAATGTTGATATTCATCAAGATAGGTTGCATATGATCGTAAATAAATTTGATGGAGTAGATATTTGAAAAATTTTTTTATTGAACAAATAAATCTGAAGTTATCTACGAATTTTCATCTCAGTTGTTTTCAATGAATAGTGATAATTTTTCCAGGCGTTCCACACGGCTCCAGTAGCGTACTGGTCAGTGACATCTGTCAAGTACAACCCGTACAAGTTTGACGAATGACAGGCGGTGTACCACCACGCTCCTTTGTAAATCCCAGCGCACATCTTGTCCAAGACTGCATCATTATCTTCGTCATGTTGAAAATTGCGATGCACACCAAGAGAATCACCATGGACATATCGGAAGAAAAAAATGGCTTAATATATACGCTGATAATATACGGTACTGTCATTTATAAGTACAGTATGTCTCTTATTACAGTTCATTTTGCTTTATTTATATTTTTATGCCAAAAGAACATTCATTTAGTAGATATTGGACCATAGACTGGGTTCCAGTCCCTAATCTTTGTCTTAATCAGTTGAAATGCTTAAGAATAAATCGATTTTGGCACAAATGGCGTTTCATATTACTTATTTGCATGGCGTTCCATAGTATAATTTTTCTTCTAATTCTCATCAAGAAAGTTTCTCAACATAAACTGACGCTGGTGGCGCTTTCCGAAATGCGCTAATGTACTACGAAAAATCCATAAATTAGAGACTTGTGGCAAGTCTAATTGGACCACTGCAAATAAGCAAAACCTGTGATTTTAAATACCATACAAAAAACTAAATGAATTCAGTAGTAAAATAACACACATACTTTAATGAATAAAATTTAAAAAATAAACATTTTCTGTTATATCTTTATTAACTCATTTAATAGACCTACCCGCATTGCCACTGTAAGTACCAATTACCAGTGTGTAATTGTTCTACTTAAGTAAGTCTAAAATTTTTGTCATGGGCGTAGTTAGATTCCTCTTCAAAAGGTGACATGTCAACTCTTAATTCGTTAACTTGTGGCAAGTCTAATTGGACCACTGCAAATAAGCAAAACCTATGATTTTAAATACCATACAAAAAACTAAATGAATTCAGTAGTAAAATAACACACATACTTTAATGAATAAAATTTAAAAAATAAACATTTTCTGTTATATCTTTATTAACTCATTTAATAGACCTACCCGCATTGCCACTGTAAGTACCAATTACCAGTGTGTAATTGTTCTACTTAAGTAAGTCTAAAATTTTTGTCATGGGCGTAGTTAGATTCCTCTTCAAAAGGTGACATGTCAACTCTTAATTCGTTAACTTGTGGCAAGTCTAATTGGACCACTGCAAATAAGCAAAACCTATGATTTTAAATACCATACAAAAAACTAAATGAATACAGTAGTAAAATAACACACATACTTTAATGAATAAAATTTAAAAAATAAACATTTTCTGTTATATCTTTATTAACTCATTTAATAGACCTACCCGCATTGCCACTGTAAGTACCAATTACCAGTGTGTAATTGTTCTACTTAAGTAAGTCTAAAATTTTTGTCATGGGCGTAGTTAGATTCCTCTTCAAAAGGTGACATGTCAACTCTTAATTCGTTAACTTGTGGCAAGTCTAATTGGACCACTGCAAATAAGCAAAACCTATGATTTTAAATACCATACAAAAAACTAAATGAATACAGTAGTAAAATAACACACATACTTTAATGAATAAAATTTAAAAAATAAACATTTTCTGTTATATCTTTATTAACTCATTTAATAGACCTACCCGCATTGCCACTGTAAGTACCAATTACCAGTGTGTAATTGTTCTACTTAAGTAAGTCTAAAATTTTTGTCATGGGCGTAGTTAGATTCCTCTTCAAAAGGTGACATGTCAACTCTTAATTCGTTAACTTGTGGCAAGTCTAATTGGACCACTGCAAATAAGCAAAACCTATGATTTTAAATACCATACAAAAAACTAAATGAATACAGTAGTAAAATAACACACATACTAAAAAAAAAAAAAAAAAAAAAAAGGGCAAATTTTAGAAGATTGTTATAAATAATTAACAATAAAATGGGGCGTAACCACCCATTTTTACACATTTTTTCCCAGTTTTTAAATATTCAAAAATCTGTATCTCATTCACCGTTGCTGAGTTTTTGATCAAACTACTTTTTTCTGGCTACAACATATCAAAAAATTGTTTTCCTCCGGAGCCTGACTTTAAGTAGGACCAGGGAACAGTGAAATTTCGCAGGTGGGCGTGGTTTAACGAAGAACGACTAGTCAAAATACGGCCAATGAAAAAAAGCTACACAAATAAATAGCGCCCTCAGTTGTTTGCTTCCATGACTACACAAAGCAAAATGGCTGCTGGATGTTCAAAATAAAAATGTTTTATAATGATTTATAGAGTAGAGTAAGCGCAGCCTATTGGTGATTACATTATTTTTAGAAGGCCATCCGGCCATGCTATTTGGTGAATGGTTGTGTAGGCCTAGTTGGTCGGTCATTAATGTATTTATGGTTAGGCCTAGCCTAGGCTGCTCGGCCTAGCTAGCTAGGGTTAAACCCTAGCTAGGGGCCTAGCTAGAGGTCCTAGCTAGCCTAGGGCCAGGCTAAGCTATAATAAGTATAATAATAGGCCTAGCCTATCATCATTATTTATTACCAGGCTGCAATTCAGCATAGCCTAGGCCTAGAGCAGCTCAGTCAGGAGCCCCGAATCAGGCCTACTGGCACTGACGACCTTGCTTGGCCACCATTCTCTAATAATTCCCTCTCTAGGCTAGGCCTTACTTTTTTCACATTATTGAAACAGTGATTACCCCTCAAACCTGGACAGAATACTTAAACTTCAAAAACGTATTGTCAGAATAATTAATTCAGCTTCTTTTGCATCTCCGTCTAAACCTCTGTTTAAAAAACTAGGCCTATAAAAAATATTTTGCAAATTTTTGATTTGCATGAGTACAATACTACAAGTTTCTTCTTTTATGTTTCAATATGTTAAAGGTCAACTCCCAACTTCCACCCTTGCAATTTTTCAAATTTCTTCAAGTTTTCATGGCTACAATTTAAAGAATAAAAGCTTATACCCTATGGTCCTTATGTTAGACTCAGTAAAAGTCAATTTTTTTATTACGGTCTACGGACACAAATTATGGAATACTATTGATGATAAATTTAAAACATGCACGAATGTTAAATTCTTTTTACATCATGATGTACCTCAAATATGATTTTGAAAAAAAAAAATATATATATATACTTTTTTTATTTAACTTTAAACTTTTTAATTCTATAACAACTTTTTTATGGTTGATTTGAGGAGTTAGTATTTAATATTTAGAAAGTTATAGTGCCACTCAGTAGCTTTAAAATGACACCAAAATCAGCTCAATAGGTGCTATACTTACCGAGATATAGTCAGTTAAATGTGAAAGGTATCACTAATCAACTCTAACTTCGTTACCACATATCTCACTACTGTAATTAAGAGGCCTTGATAACAAATTTTTCATTTCTGATCGTTACTCATGGGTCCCAACAACATACTAAAATTTGAACAAAGTCCGAGAGATTGATTTGACATGGAATTGCCCATTAATAATAATATTAATGATGAATGAATGATTTTTTCAGATTCTGGGAGAATAGTATAGAAAGAAGAAGAACTGGTGCTGAGTAGTGAAAATGGAAGACTTTAAAGCAAATGCCCGAAGTAATGTAGTTGCTAAGATTCTAAAGGAGCGAGAAAAGCGGCCAGGCCAACTGGATTCTGAAACAAAGGCACAATTTTTTTGGAGGAAACTACGAGAGTCCATTCGAAACACTGTTCGGGAAGTGACAAAATCTGATGCAAAAGAAGTTGAAGTTATTCACGGGGTTCATCATCTAAGAAAGATCAATCATACAAACAAATTGCAGCATGTCTTCTTCAACTCTGAGACACAGGTAACACTGCTAAAAAATGCAATCATATAATGTATTTTAGGCAGTGGCTAAGAATATGGTACTGTACGTAATCTCAGTGTGAGTGTCTCAGGATGTTGCCAACCCAAACTTCTTTATCATTACCAAGAAAGCGTATGGTACCGTACCGCTAATCACATCGTATGGTGATCCAAATGAAACGTGACAGGAAAGTGTGAAATAAAATCATTTTCTATTTCCAAAAACCTGTGCAACAAAAAATATTCTGATCTCACAGTGGTTCCCGATAACCTTCCACTGAGAATGTATACTGCAGAATTAAATTAATAAAATTTTCGTCGTACGCAATTGCTGTTGTCTTATACTGTGTAAATGGATTGCGTTGCGATAGACTGTACAGTATTTTTCACTGTCGTGCTCTGTGTAAATTTTAAACATAAATTTATGTATTTTATTGAGTGCATTGTGTATTTTGGTAATACAGTTAAACTAGCCTAAGTCGACTTTTGCCTAACTCGAATAATTTCTAAGTCAATCTTACAACAAGATTTACAAACCAAAATTGTTAGGATAGGATTATTTCAGTGTGAATCACACAAAGGATGATCCACTTAGTCCGAAGACTTAATTGTTTACATTGGGTTTCCTCCGGTAGTGAATTGGGCAGTACAACCGGAAGACAATCCCCTTCTCTTTTCTGAAGAGTGTACTGCGTTCTTTAATGTGCACATGGGCCATATTGCACATGGGACCAATGGCTTAAACATCTCATCCGAAAGACGGTGTGCTATTGTAACTTGTATTTCAGCCCTCTAGCTGAAACACAAGGAGAGCAGTGATTGGACCGGGGACCTAGAGATCTCTACGGTTAGCGCACACACAGTGGCTACCACCAGTTTAGCCGACTGAGCTAAGCTGCTGTCACTGTTGTGTTTTCCATTAATTAACCATCCGTCAAACAGGTTTTCAAAGCCATTTTGGATTTGACTTAGGTAAGTTCAGCAGCTGTATATGATGTTTGTTTTCCTGCTCTGACAATGCAGTTCATTCTTTCTTGCAGGAGTACCTAACGATTGATTGTAATGGGATTAACCTTTTCTATGCTGATGGCCGCGGCAAAGACTGCATTGTTCCAGAGGAGCCTGTGAACCATATAATCTACGCAAAAGAAGTGAATCGTTATGTAGGGTGGGAAACAGGAGGTCTCTATGTTAGGGTAAAGTTCATATTGGCTTCAACTAGCAAAATCTGCATGATTAGCGTTATGACAATTATTTAACATTTCATCAACAAATTGTTTTCACATGTTAAATATTCATAAACTGGTAGTTCAATAATACTGTACTGTAATTAAAATAATTCTTGATCTATATAAAGCACATGGTAAGAATATTATGAGGCACTGAGTGGGTTAATGAAAAGTTTTCATTGGAATACGGATTTAGTTCTGCATTTTTTGCACCCCACCCCAAGGCTGTTTTGCATCCCCTTCTTAGGTCAGAACCAGCCTACACCCCTGGAATATAACTAGACTGCATAGATTCAACATCCAAGTACATAATTCCCATCATTTTTCGGCAGTTCAATTTAAGGTGCCAGAGACTTAAAATGTACCTACAAAATAACAAAATATTTCAACATTAATTATGTCATCATCAGGAATGATTAGTTATGCCATTATTAGGATTTCCTGATGATGACACAATGTTGAAATATTGAATCCCAACACGATGGCATGCATTTCAGTACTTGGAGTATGTATTATACTTTCTAAGTGGTGTAGCAATAGTGGTGTAGTCTGGATATCAATGAGACACCCTTATTATAAGGGTCAAGATTAAATAGGACTCCTTTAATACATGTATCCTTTGTGTTTAACAAATACATTTTCTCTTGATTTGCAACCAAAAATATCCCCATAATAATAGGGGGAACCTAAGGAGGTGTTGTAATGTGCTGTTAACCTTACATTTATTACATCTTGTGTTCTGTTTCTACACAGAATTTCGCTAGTGATTTCGAGCTGATTTCAGAAGCCAAGTCGCCATTTAAGATTTTTTGTGGTCTGTACAACCAGTGGCAGACGGAATTCATCACAGCGGGGGAAGGTCATGTCATGGTACGCTATACAGCCTTCCTTCAATCATAATGTTTTCTTCAAAATTGACTAATTAATATTGTCATTTTTATAGCATTGCTGCTGTTTGACTCACTTTATTTCAAGTCCAATCTATTATCTATTTAAATACTATCATCAGAAAACACTTGGAAGACTAATTAACCTCAGTCCAGATTATCAAATTATCTTTTACAAAAAAACTGTTGTATGTCCATATATAGCCATGTTGTGTCTATATATGGTCATGATGTGATGTCATCATGACCATATTTAGGCATGACACTAGTTTTTGTCAAATAAAATTTGATAGTGCGGGCAATCATTTAGTTTTATTGTACAGTATATTGTTATGCACCTTTTTGCATGTTGTTATATGTAGTACATATATCTGGATATGCTGTAGTACAATATAATAATTGTCGACGTATATAGCGCATATTGTAGGGACCTCTATGCACTTACATTAGTACCCCCGGACATTGGATCAAGCACACATGGAACACACACTCAAGCCCCATGGGAGAATTCCATAATGTTACAGCTGTATTCAGCGCAGGCTGTGTTTCAACCTACCAGGTACCCACTTGTACTCCTTGGTGGAGAGAGACAACTGTAGATAAAGTGCCTTGCCCGAGGACACAAGCGACTTGCACAGCGAGAGTTTTGAACCCCGACCTCAAGGTTGAGAGTCCAAGCCACAACTGATGCACCAACCTCTTTTACTATATATGGGCATGTTGATATCATTTCATACTCATACAGTATATATGCAACTCGCAGATATTTTCATATAAGATTTGATAGTTTACGGAGATTTTAAATGCGTCATCATTTATGTCAAATATGTAACAGTAATTTGATGAAATCTTTCAGAATTAAGTATGGCAATTATATATTAACACTGTGTATAATTTGTTACCCTTACAGTGCTGGAATTTCCGCTATGGTGCCAAACACCTTATTTATCGTAAGATAGCCAAGCAGGACCTGACAGCACAGGATAGGTTTACGTTACTTGCGCTGGAAGACACAGCCAGTCGTGCTCAACGTTGCTTTGCTGTCTGTAACACAGGAGTAGCGGTATTTAACCTCTTTGAGGGGGCATTGCAATCGTACAAGAAAGATCTTCACGCTCGCGCTATATCAAGGTACAAATCCTGCTGTTAAGTACATACTTGTATTTAGAATTGTTAATGTGCATTTAGTTTTACTACTGTTGGGGTTTTTTTTTTTTTTTTTTTAAGTCAGGAACACACTGTATTGACAGCTTTCGGACATTGAATTGGGAATCAGTAAACACGAACCCTATTAAACTCACGATTACAATCTTGCCTCCTACAAATTCGCCACCTTGACAAACCTTCCCGCTACAACTCGACCCTTAACAAACTCGCCTCTACAATGTCGCCCCCAACAAACTTGTAGAAGGTGACTTTGTCAAGGGATGAGTTTGTAGGGGGCAAGATTGTATGGGTGAGTTTGCCTCTCTCAGTTAGTGATTGATGATGCAATGCTGTTTGCTGTTTGTCAGCATTCTAAGCGAATCGTCATTTTGTGCGTGTCTCATCATATTCTGTTCGCTATGGAATAGACCTTTCCAATCTGACCAATCAGAATAGAGCCAAGAATATGTGTGCGTGTGACTGTCTAACAAATACGCATGTTGTCATCTTTTTGGACCATAGCAACAATATCCAAGAAGCTGGCCTTAGAGGAAAGGTCAATTACGTTGGCTAACGACCAACAGCTTTTAATAGATATCTATAACAGAGTTTAGTATACTATAGTGAAGAAATGAACATACACACAAGATGCTTTACCTACTAAATCTCATTATGAGGCTTAGAAAGTGGAGTTGTTTTGGTTGTCAGAAAAAATCCTGTTATCGTGACAGGAATTGAACCCAGGACACTGGAATTGGAAGCAAGCATCTTAACCAACCACCAAGTATTCAACTCCACTTATGTTTCAGTTGTTTTTTCTTTCCTCAGCCTGTTGTTTTTCAACCCTTTAAAGTACTTGATAACAGCAGCTCTAGATGGGTCCATTAAAGTGTGGGATGAAAATTGGCATCTTCAGCTAGTGTTTGTTGGTCATGGCACTGTGGTCACTGCACTGGCTGTGTATCCATACGGTCCCAACATCATATCTGCCTCGGAAGATTGCACACTGAGGGTATGGAGTCTTGAGACCTGTGATGAAGTGGATTTGTAAGTTATTCCTTACATATAGGCGCGTGTGGTGCAACGTGTAAGGTGTTGGATTTCTGATCGTGAGATTGGGAGTTTGAGACTGGTTGTTGTTGCATTGCTTGTTTCCTTGGGCAAGGCAATTTACTTACGTTTGCCTCTCTCCACCCAAGAGTATAAATAGGTACCTGATAGTCTGGTATGGGATTGTAAGATATGGTTTGGAGCAGTGGGAACTGTTTGGTTTCCCAACCTCGAGGTCAGGGTTTCAATCCCTCGCTGTTTATTTCACTTGTGTCCTTGGACTCTGCAATGCCTCGCTCCATCAAGGAGTATAAATGAGTGCATGGTAGGGTTAAATGCCGAAATGCGCTGATGTAGCTGCTGCAACGTTAATAAATACTCCCCCAGGGAGCTTGCGTTTGTGTTCCATAAGCATTTAATCCAATGACGGGGGTAATAATGTGAAGCGCTTAGAGGTATTGTTGCCGTTAAGCACTATATAAGTCTAACATATTATTATATTACCGAACGTATGTCATGCGTGCATGAGCCTAGGCCATCTTTTGGACGGCCAACAATTATTTAGGACGGCCAATTTTACCGTGACGGCTTGAACGGCTTGGCCTAGCGTATTTGGGCCTGGTCTACCTTTAGCAAATTCTTTATATTCCTTGAATTATATTCTTTGCATTATACTAAAGCATATTTTGGATGGCCTATTTCATTTTTCTGGCTAAACCCCTGCGTGTGTGTAAAGCAGCATGACTAGGGATACTCCCCATGGAGCAGGGAAATTTCCATGGTGGACACAAAATATGTGCTGAAGTTGGTCATCTCAGTATCCAGTGACCAGGGAAATATGATGCCAGCCCCTTGAATATTCTTCAGATTGTAAAAGGCACTATATAAATCGCGATTAAAACAATATTTTTAAAATATAATTTTTTAATTTATATAATACTGTAAAAATATATTTTATTTCATGTCAGAGTTGTTTTTTGTACTACCATGTTTTTGATATTTATAACCCTATTTGCAGGATCAAAACAGATGAGCCTGTTGTAGGCTTGGGCAGCATATTGAAAAATGATTGTCTTTACTCATACTCAGAACAGACTGTGGATTTGTGGAAACTAAGGCATTTACATACTTTGTACACAACAACTGGGTAAATTATTAAAATTTACTAATATCGTCTGGAGCACAGCTGCCTCCGTTATCTTTATTGCTATCTTTATTGATATTGATTATATTACTGTAACTATAACTACTTGTTATTATTTGTATTGTTTTGTGTACAACATAACTATGTTTTTTTTAATTTTTTGAAGGAGTAAGGTTGACCGCATAAAAGTTACTTCTCAGCCACAGGTATTTTGTATTATCTTTTCTACCTTCACCATAATTGTTACAACAACACTATTATCATCATCTTACAATCATTTTCATTGTCAATCATCATCATCATCATTATTATAAATTATCAACTTTATTATAAATTATCAACATTATATATTTATATCATTTTCGTAGGTACATCATCCTCAATAATATTCAATATAGGTCTCCCTTTAATAATAGACCCCTCCAATTAAAGACTACCTCTAATTAAAGACCACTTTTCTGTGGTCCCAAATTAACAAATGTCTTTTATTTTTATTATTCTAATTAGGGACCAAAGCTGCTAAAGACCACGGAAACCATGGTCCCAAAAATGGTCCTGAATTGGAGGGAGACCTGTATTTCAATATCTTTTATTTTTGGCTTTATAGGTAGCAAGAAAGGTGGTCTGTATTTGTCGAGATTCAACTGTCAGGATCGTTACGCCCGGAAGTGGTGATGTCATCACATCCTTCATAGCAGCCAAGCAGAACGGCATATCAGATGCTGTCCTTGCAGCAGCTAATGGTATTTCTTAGCTCTCTTCACATTATCAAATTTTCTTTTACACAAAAAAAACTGTTGTATGCCCATATTTAGTCATGATGTGCCTATTATTATATGGTGATATTGTGAAGTCATCACAATACTAAGGCAGATTGTCGGTGACTGAACAGAACACCATTAAAAACAATCCATTACACGCGCTTCGTGGCATTGTGTTCTTAATTGAATCGCATCGCAGGCGACTTTTGGCTGCAGTGACTGCCTGGCTTTAGTCATAAAAAAATAAATCTTCAAAGTTACAGACCCTGGAATTGTAAACACCAAGCCATGCAACCCACTTTTAGTACTGAATTTTCAATTATTTTTTTTGTATTATATCTCTTTGTTGATTATCATTACGTTGAATTACTTTTTGTAGGCACAATGTTTGTGAACCTTACTAATGGCGCTGTGATCAAGACAGATACCTCAACTAATCCATGCACCATACAAGCGGTATGGAATCCACACGGAAAAAAGAAAGGCGAATTTCTAAACTGTATTTGCCTGTATGAGTATGCAATAGAATCCAAGATGAGAGAGGATACGTGGAAAGGAATATTGAAGACACTGACTGCATCCAACATGGCATCGCCAACGAACCAGTTGAAGTCTGTTGACCAGACACTTCTTATAGGTGGAAGAAAGGATGGCTACATAGCTGTTCTGGATTGGGAGTCGATGAAAGTCCGATTTAAGATCGATGTATGTCTTCTTCAAACCTCTGTTTCACACAATTGAATGGTCCGATAATGTGTGCAACCCTTAAGTAGATATGTGCTGTAATTATATAGTAATATTTTCTAAATATTTCTCCTGTATTTTTTTATAACTTTTGTTTTGATCTTGTTTTCTTTAACAGGCTCATGGTTCTGGTGGGGTGCTTGGCCTTGTTGCAAATCCTGAAAATGACCAACTCATTTCAGCTGGCCTAGGTAAGGCACTCATTTATACCTTCTACAATGTTAAATGGGTTTCCATTGTCATTATGTTGTATGTACATAAATTTCAGCTAGAGGGCTGAAGTGTATGTAAAAAAGTGCATCATATTTTGGATGAGTCGTTTACGCCATTGGTCCTGTGTGGAACATGGCTCATGTACATGTTAATGGACGCAGTACAACACTCTTTCGAAAAGAGTAGGGAATTGTCTCCCGATGTAATGCCTAATCACTACCACCCCTAGATACACCACTGCTTTCTTGGGTTATCCATGGTGTTCACACTGAATAAATCCAAATTTTCAATATTTGCCTTTAAAGTTTAATAACAATCTTCATGACAAAAAAAAAAAGAAGAAAAATGAGATAGATGACTATATAAGCTTAATTTTGGTCTTTGAATCAGGTTCCTAAGTTGAGTACAACTAGAGTAAGATAATTTTCAAATTCAGATATCTGAAAACATATTTTAGAGAAAAATTGCATCAAACGATAAACAACTGAAAAATTTGTGTTGGTTTTCCAATCAATTCTGAAAAAGAGTTTTGCAAAATTTGCCTCAAAACACTGTTAACTTACCTACTTATGTCAGAATATTTGCTAAATTGTAAAATATATGATATATATTCAACTTAACAACATTGAAACCAAATTTACGTCAAAATATCACTTCAGATATATTTTTTTGAATATCAAATTGGACTGGCATACAGAAAGACTAATTTTGTCACTTGACCTCACAAATACTGTTGCTTTTATAGACAATGTGATTAAGGTGTGGAGAGTTTTTCCATTTGCTGAGGAGGCCTTAGCACCATTGATGTCTTTCTACTGTTCACACCTGCCACACCATATGACAGTCATGAAGTCGACGTTGTGCGTTGCATTTCAGGACAATTCCTCGGCTACCTTCAGCATTGTCCACTACAACCTTAATAATAAAAGTAAGACCACTTGATTTACCTGGTTTAGCCACTACTCAGAGTCTTTAAAAGTATGTACTTCTACACGACGAAAGCATTCACAAAAATATATTTCAAAGAAGATGGTGATAGTGATGGTGATGATGTTATGATGATAATGATGTTAATGGTGATGATGAATGTGATGATGATGATGATGTTGCTAATGATAATGATAAAGATATAATAATAATGATGAAGAATATGGTGATGATGATTATAAACATCATGATGGGGATGAGGATGATGATGATACTGATGTGACTATGGCAATGGTGAAGGTGAGAAGGCAATGTTGATGTTACATTACATTCATGATGTTAATGATGTGGGCATGATGGTACTATGTTGCTTTACTTGTGATGGTAATGATTTTGGCATGAAGATAATAATATTAGTTTAATGCTGATATAATATGATGGCCAGACTGTATAATATTTGTTCAGTGGTCAATGGCTGTATACAGTGCATTTGTCTATATGCACTTAATACAAAAGCATGATGGTGTAATTGTGATGGTAATGATGTGGGCATAATGTCATAACTTGATGTGGTAGTTACTGAATACCTGATCAGCAACATTACCTAGTAATTACTCTGTTTTACTAGGCCGTTTTGATCATAGAGACTTAGGCTAGGCTAGCCAAGTTCGGTTCGGCCTAGCCTAGGCTAGGCTAGCCAAGCAAAGCCAAGCCAAGTCAACATTACCTAGTAATTACTCTGTTTTACTAGGCCGTTTTGATCATAGTCCTGATGATGATCATATTGATGCAATTACTGGCATCTGCTGCTGTCCGAGAATGAAGCTGTTTGCATCTTCCAGCTTGGACACCACCATCAGAATCTGGGATGAACGAAATAGACTCATCAGGTAAAGATGTACTAAGCTACTGTTTGTGAACTGAAAGTCATGAAATCATCCATATATAATATATTATTTTAGAAAAAGGAGAAGGAACAGAGGGGTAGGAAAGAAAGACGGTACAGAAAAGGGAGAAGAAAACAGGGAAAGAAGATTGAAAAGGGAGGAGAAAAGATAGAAACAAAGATAGAGAGAGGAAATCGAAAGAGAGGTGAAAAAAGGAAAACCAATTAGAAATGGAATTGGGAAAATATGAAAGGATAAATGAGGTGAAGGAAAAAAAAACAGGGAAGGAAGAAGAAGGAGAAAATATAAAAAGAAAAGAGAGAAAAGTTGTAAGTAAGAAGGAGAGGGAGAAAGTAGAGGAGAGGACTGTAAGAAGAGCTGTTAGATGTAAAATTTAAAAGAAAATACAGTAGAAGTCCTCCTTTATGACATCCCTATTTTTGGCCACAAATCAAGAGAAAGTATATCTTTTAATATTACGCCAACCCCTTGTGATGGAACACTTCTAGTAAGGGTACTTTTTTGGTCCCAAAGGATCCCCCTGGTTTTTGGAAAACACTTTTTGGACACGACAGTGTCCCAAAAGTTAGGCAACACGACTTTGATCTTTCTTTTTTCCAATAGAATTGTGCGATTAAATGCTGAACCATTAAGCATAAACTTCTTCAGTGAGCGTGCAGACTTAATGATAGGAATTGGCAAGCACCTGCACCGTATGGATCATAGCGCATGTAAGTTTACAGAGGTTTATACAATAAAAATGTAAATAAACATCCAGGGCTGTGTAAGAGTGTGTAAAATTGACAACTTAAATACTGGCAAAACAATACTGGTTTAATGCAAGCATACCATTATATTTTTATATTCAGTACATTCTTGTCTGTGAATCCTTTCCAATTTTTTTTAGGAATAAAGTATTTTATGTAAGTATAGATCACATACAACTTAAAATTTCATTTTAAATATAATGAGGAAATAAAATTTTATTTATTTATTTATTTTTTTAATTTCAGACCTTCCAAGGAATTACCTGTTTAAAATGGTATCTATGGCATTCCCTGCAATACCAACAGAACCAGTAATTCCCTATGATGAGGCTGTGGTACAAACACTTAACCCTACGGACAAAAAGAGACTAAAATCTGCACATTCATCTTTATTCAGGTGAGCCACTTACATTGTGTATGGTATCGAGTCAACTTCTAACCAAACCAACCTGTAATTATTGGTTGGACGACTTGTACCAATAGTTCAATAAAATGCAACTGTATGGTAGGCAGTCAAGTTCTAACCAAACCAGCCTGTACTTAGTGGTTGGATGACTCGTACAATTAGTTCAATAAAATGCAACTGTGTATGGTAGACAGTCAACTTATAACCAAATCACCCTGTAATTAGTGGTATAATAACTCATACCAATAGTTCAATAAGATGCAAATGCAAAGCATGTAACAAGTGCATGGTTAAATTCGCATTTAGATTTGAAAGTTTTGTTGACAAACTGACCGAAGAAGAAAGTGAAGAAATAGTTAAAGAGAAAGAAGAAAAGGAAAAGGTAAGATAAGCTAAATTATCAACAGATTTAAAATGTTTACAAATGTGTTTTTATGCGCTTTACTCTTTTTATGTTTTTTCGATATTTTATATACACAGCATTGAATTTGTTTAATATGATTATGATTATGAATATAAATTTGGTAATACAGTGCACCCTCCAATTCAAGAACCCTCTAATTGACATGTCGACAAGGACGCGAAGCCCCGCCCACAAAGTCACGAAAAAACCTTAGACAATGGCGGCTAGACTTGCCGAGTTGGCGAACATTTTCTTCGCTATCAACCTTCTTTAAGAAAGAGAATTCAGGGCAGGCGGTATGCAAATGAATCATATATTCATAGTGTTAATCTATTTCATGGAACATGGCGGGGAAATTGTTGTAAAAGCCTCTGTATTTCGCTCCCAAAGGAAGGGGGAAAAGCCACATTCAGTCAACCTGGTCGGCAAAGGCCAAGTCACTGATGCGCACTGCTCGTTCTGGGTGTCTATAACCAAGCACAGACATCTAGGCCTAGGTTCACGTATGTTTCGCATTTAAACCAGCTGTCTAAGAAAATTAAAATGTCGGAGAAAAGTTTTTGATTACATGACTAAATGACGCTCGCTGATTAGACGGTTTATCTGTCAATCAAATCTTGTCGAGATGTTAATTGCGAGAACCTCTAATTTGAGACCACTTTTTCAAAGAACAGAATAACAATCTTCCATCTATTGACACAAAGCTAATCCTCTATGTGGAGACCGAACACCGAGGCCACCCCATATTTTCAGGTTCCAAAGGTGGTTTTAAATTAGACATGGTGAACTGTACTGTAATACAGATTTATAGAAATAGCCCAGTAATGTTTTTGCATTAACTTAAAAATACTCTCAGTTTTTAAACATACATAACAGGCCACCTTAGAGTAAAAAGGTAATGTAATCAAGGTTTAAGGATAAAATAAATAAGAGTGATGATAGAGAGAAAGTAATCATGAGAAAAGGTGTCAGAATCAGTCAACAAACTAAACAAATGAAGGAAAACACTACACAGTACACAAAAGTTACATGTAAACATTGTACAAGGAACGACTGTTGAAATAACGCTTTATAAATGATTGATTTATATATTTATTTATACTATATTTAAAAAAAATCTTTTTCCTCTCAAGGCGTACTCTGTGCTTGCTGCAAGAGAAATAGAATTAAAGAAAATACGTGATGGTGAACTGTCTAGCAAGAGGAAGCCAGCACCCCCACCTGGAACTAAGGAAAGGGCATTTCATCGCTACTGGCAAATGATACACAATGAAAAACATGTAGAGAAGATATCTGAAGAAGATGACTTCACCCCGGAACCGATTAAGAAACGTGCTCAGCCAGAACCCAAGTGGGATTCAGGTAGCCGCAACAATTGCTTCTCTTTTCCTGGTGTTTTATTGTCTGTGTGTGTCTTTTGTCTACAGTAATTGTTTTAATTAAATGTTACATTAAAACATTTAATGAACAGGCACATTTCAGCCTCCAATATTGCTGGATCCTAAAAAACGAAACTTGTATTTGTATCTATAATCTATTTATATTTATTATATGTAAATATGTAACAGCTAATTTACAAAATCTTTTTCCCCTTTTTAAATATTTTGATGTTTAATTTGACTATGTTTTCCTAACTTAATTGTAACAAAACTAAATACCTTTATCATCTACACATAACATGATAGTTTGTTTTTATGCCTTCCTTTTTATACTAGAATTTGAGCCAGCAGGGTTTTTCCCACACCATTCCGTATGCAAACCTGTTGTACCTGAATCAAACGATGACGGCTCTGAGTCTCCAGCGAAGAGGGAGACTCCATATCCGATACATCCAATGGGATTCATTCCAAATTCTGTATTGGTTCGACTTTTGTGGCCTCCGGAGGTGACACAGAAGGCCGCTGAGGATAGGTACAAGCCTCCTGCATTGACTGATGAACAACTTGCTGAAATAGCAGGCAAAAAGCGGGTAAGCATGATATTGAACCTTTGTATATATAGGTCAGTGGAGCTGTAGCCTGGTAGTTATGAATACAAGACTTTCAATTGCTTTACTTTAAATATCCCAATATGAGATCTATGTGAGCTGTCGTGACAAAATGATTGTTGTACAAAAAATGAAAAAAAGTGTGTTATGATGTAAGCTTTATTTTGGTCTTTGAATTAGGTTCATAGTTTGAGTTTAACCGTCAGTAAAATCTTTTTCACATTTAGAAGTCTGAAAATTACTTTAGAGAAAATTGGCATTAAAGATAAACAACTGATAAATTTTCGTGTTGGTTTTCCTATCAATTCTGATAAAGAACTTTTCAAAATGTGGCTCAAAAACACTTTTAACTAATGTAAATCAACTCAGAACAGTAGTTACTGTGAAATTATACATTATTATACGTATCAGAAATGTTGAAACCTAATATTTGTCAAAATATCACATCAGATATATTTCTTTGAATTTCAAATTGACCTGGCATACAACAAGACTCATTTTGTCACGACAGCTCACATAGCTAAGCTGATCCTGTGTATATTATAAGTAACAACACATACATATTGTTTATTTTTTTTGCATTTTCTACTATTGCAGTCTGGAGATGAAAGTGCAGAGGAGGTGATATCAATATGTCATAAATTGTTAAATTTTTATTTGCATGAATTGTTACAAACTGTTTATTTACATGGAATGTTACAAATTGTTTGGGGCCATCCATAATTACCAACATTTTCAAAGGAATACAAAACATACGTTTTGGGGTATGGGGAGGGGTTAAAAGTGTAGGCATAAGTACTATTTTATGAAAAAGATGAAATGTTGATCTTAAAGATCAACATTTTTTGTGTACTCTTTCAGGTGGAGCGAGGGGATCACAGAAAAGAATATGTTTTGTGCTCTTTTGAAAATGTTGAAAATTGTGGATGACCCCTTTGCATATTCTTGGGATGAATTTTTAAAAATTGTTACAAGTTTTTGAATAAATTAATGTAATGTAGTTGAATTCATATAGCGAGGTGAGCTCATACAGCAACTTCCTTCTCCCCTAAGTGTCTCTACATGTCTGAGCAACCTGGTAAACCGGTACCAGCTATGTCCACAATGAGGGCTGTATGGGCCAGTACACCAGGGTAACCCACCCCCCCCCACCCATTCATCTTTTAAAGTTTTTTAAAGTCCACATGAGCTAAATTGTGTACACCGCTCGGCCATTCGCTTGCGAATTATTACATTTTTTTTACAGAAATTACTTTGCCAGAATTTTTACATTATTGTTGCATGAATTCTAACAAATTGTGTAGATGAATAGTTACAAATTGTTTTCATGAGCATTAACAAATTAATTGCATGGATTTAAAAAAATTGTTTGCATGCATTGTTTTAATGGCAGGAGTGGTTACAATTTATCTGAATAATTATAATATATATATATATATCTGTCTCTTATACACATCTAGTATAAATTAATTATTTATATATAATTTGCATTGGTTTTCTCTGCACAGAAGTTTAAGTTAGTACCTGGACAAAATATTTTGCACGTACTGTAGATCCTTTGCATTACTACTACAATAAAATTTTCTGTTTTTCAATAGGCTTGAATTATAAGTGTATTATTTCACAAATAATAAATAAACACAAAGATAAAAATACATTTCATTTGGTATCCAACGCTTCCAAATTTTAGGAATGACCAGGTATATGTGCGCTTGCTGCACACACACACACACACAAATACATGCTGCACATACATGTGGGACCTTAGCTAAAGTGTCCGAAAGGTGGTTCTTAGCGGATATGTCCATTGTACCTTTTATTGATTGCTGTGTGCCGCACAAGTGCTGTTTTTGCTTGTGTTAATTTACTATCAGTTCATTGCATAATGCATTTTATTTGTGTTGCTTTTAAATTTTTTTTTTGCTGCTTCATCATGCCAAGCCTGTACCCGAGCCAACCATTGTACAGGTAAAAATATAGTAACCCTTTATATACTTCTCAATGCTGGTGCACCATCTCACACTTAAATCATATATAGATTGACTATTTTATAGATTTACAGGAGAAGAAAAAAATAAATCATAATATATAGGTCGTTTGACAATAGTAGAAAATGTATGAATCCTCACATCATGTGATCACAACTCATTGCTTTTAAATGTGATCATTCTGTAATCTATTGATCATATGATCATATAGGCAGCAGGGGACAATTTACATTCATTTATGGAATATGATAGTTACTACCTATGGGTCATCTGACCATGGTGGTTCATAAAATCTCAAGATTATATTTCAGGGAATATTAATTTCTAGGCAACATAGTTTCAGGGTATTTTATTTTCAATTGGATAGTGAGTCGAGGTATATCATAGTAATAATCAGAATATTGTTTTTTTAAATAATTGCTTAAAGACACCAAAAGAGGAACCAGTGACTCCAGATGAGGAACCTGAAAAATCAACGACTCGCTCCAGTTTCTTAGATCAGTTTGATTTTGACATTACAAAGAGCACTACACCTAAAGATCTAGATGAGGAGTTAGAATACACTCCACCACCAACACCACCTGTAGCTCCGAGCCCGCAGCCTATCGCAGAGTCTCCAAAAACACCCACCAAGCCTAGAGAAATCAAGCCTTTAAAAAAGATTGAGAAACTTGTACCACCGAAGCCGAGGACACCTTCACCCCCACCTCTACCAACACCGTCGCCACCAAGACCACCGACACCGCTGCCTAGTTTTATCACCCAGTTTAAAGGATCTGAGTGGTTTGAGCAATACTTTCCTAATGCCAATGTTAATGTAAGTATCAATGTCAGCTGTGTTTTACTGTGTACTGGTTATGCATAATCCATGTGAACAAATTTATGAAGCTACTTTCTCCTAATGCCCTGTTCAGACATCCTGTGACCATATATAGGCACATCAATATCATACTGTATTAAGGTATGTCACATGTTATTGTCAAATGTAATTTGATAGTCGGGACAGGGCTTTAAGCTTCGATTTTTGTGTTATGCCCATATATGTGCATGATAATATTTATCATACCCATATGTGAGCATAATGATGACAAATCACTAGGCAAATCATGGGTATAACAAAACTTCACTCCCTCAAAGTACAGTATTGACATCAAACTAATGTATACTATGTTTTAAAAATTAAAAAGTAAAAAATTATATTATTTAAGTGTCTGTTAATTATCAACAAAAAAATAATACTGTAAACAATGTAGATAAATATATTTTCCATGTAATTATACATATGCAATGAGAGAATATGTAATTTCTAGTCTTTTCCGAAACCATGGACCATCGTGAATTTCGTGACAATGCTTTTGAAGTTGGTTAAGATTGCTGATTATGGGATGAAGAACCGAATAACGGAAGCAATCAGTCTTCTGAACCAGCAAGAGCAACTGTCAAATTCAAGAGCAGTATATGAAACCATAATAAGCACGTTAAACAAGGGTAATGGACCATCATGCACAGATGAAGAGCAAAAGGTAAGTCTAATGTAATCATGACTAAAACATATGACATGCCTAATATGGTCATGATGACATCATGACTATATATAGGCACATCATGACTAATAATATATGGGCACATCATGACTATATATGGGCATACAACATTTTTTTGTCAAAAAATTTAAGTCTGTACAGGGATTTAGATCTGTTTGTACACTTGAGAAAAGTTGGCCTCATGTAGGGCAGTCTGAAGTGTGAAAAAAGAAAAACCTAAAAATAACTGGCTTTCATAGCTTTAACAATGTTAATGGTAATTGTTATTGTCGTGATGGAATAAACAATAACTGGATTTGCGTATAGGTGTAATTTTGCCCAACCTGACGTGAAAATGTACTGAATACTCAGTACATTCTGAAAACACTTGATAGGTGCCAGCTCGGTGGTCTAGAGGTATATGATGCCAGGCTAATGATCTGAGGATCGTGGGTTTGAGTACCACCCGAGAACGTGTTTTCAAAACGTATTGAGTATTCAGTACACTTTAAAGTCAGGATGGAGCAAAGTTACACCTATAATTTATCAACGTTTTATGCCATTTTAGAGATTTAATCCACAATTTTCTTTTTATAACAGTATTAAAGTAGTTATTCAAGAATCACCCTGTCACATTTCATTTAATGGAATGCATTGACGCAGTGTGTGTCAGCCTTAAGACTAAAATGTTATATATCCTTGTGGCTAATTGTATGACTATAACAGAGATGTGTTTATTGTGTTGGCAGATGTTTATTATGAATTCCCTGAAACTGTTGTCTGCTATGTGTATCTATGAGAAGGACTTCCTCATTGAGGCAATGGTGCAGTTCCTGGATGGTGATAGAGAAGTCAGGTATGACCCCATTACTAATTTCATTTTTTTAATGCAATTTTTTTCTTTTGTATCCAAAAGCAAATAACTTGTCAATTACATTACTCCCTGTGGAGTCGTTGTGTTGTGAGTATTATGAAAAACCTGCTGTGACTGGTTTTCTACCCATGATTCTGGGATTGCAAGGCAAGCATCTTATCCATCGAGCTACTCACTCGATCTCCAATATTATTATATATATATCAAGGTATCTTTATTTCAGAAAATCAAAATCAAAATATCATCGCAGCACAAAGCTGAATTGAGATAAAATGTACAAATAGTCGTCAAAGTATAAAAAATAGTCTGAAAATTACAGGACAAACACAAATTTACACCACAGAATCCAAAAATCACACACAAACAACCAAATTAAACAAGATTATGAAACATTAAATTGGAATTAAAAAACCACATACATATGTCATTATAAGTCATTGCAGAATTATTATTATTATGGTATTATTAATATTATTTATGTACACAAACTTTTACCTGATTGTTTTAGTGTAAAACATCTACGGTACATAGTAAGTACTGTAATATGGATGTGTAGATACAGTAGAGGGCGCTCTTTTCCTTGATTATTACATAGAGGGTGCTATATACAAAATTTTATTTATTTTTTTGTCTCGTGCATCATACACCAACAAAGTTGGCAGGTATACTAATAAGGATATTAAAATTTGATTTCAATAGAGAACTTGTTCATGATATGCTTATCTTGATTGGTCTGCAAGACACACACAATTATTTCTTCCGAGAACTTGACAGCTGGGATGTTTGGAACTTGGAGGAGGAAAATCGTAAGAAAGACCTCACAGCTATGTGCAAGCTGTGGGTGGATAAGTGGACTACCTTGTTCAAGGTAAGATGCTTTCATATTAATTTTCTGCATTGGATGTATTGTGGACACATGGGCACAACGTTAAAGGCTGGCCACTCTGCATTGTACGACAGACAACGAATCCAAATCAGCTCTTTCTGTGCGCTAGATGACGCGAAGCCATCTGCTGATTATCGGTGGCAGTTGCGCATCATAGTGTTGTATTCTTCATAGAATCGTGTCGACCAATGACCGTCAGGCACAGTTCGTGCCCAGCTGAAGGCATTGGGCAATGGGCTTTCAACTGAGAGGTTGAAGGTTTTAAGCTTTGTCTACACTATCAAATTTTATGTGAAAAAAAAAATGATGTGCCCATATATTGGTACGATGACGTCATATCACATATTATCAAATTGTATCAAAAATAGTTGAATGTGTTCAACTCTTATGTTCCATTACATTTTATGTGACGCTTTTTTGATGAAATTTGATAGTGAAGACAAAGCTTTAGACTAATGCTTGTCACATTGCTTGTGCCCTTGGGTTAGACACTTCATCTATGTTCACCTCTCTTCACTCAGCCGAGAAGTGAATGATTTGGAATATAATTAGAACTCCTCAGAGAGCGGAGAAGGTTGTTTTTATGTTTTTATCTATGTAACAACAGTATTTTTTTTAATACACTACTAGCAAGTTTCTTTATATTTTCAACTTTCACAGAATCATTTGAAAAAAACACTGGAGAACCTCAAGAAAGGAAAAGTATCAGGTAAGATACAAAGGCGTCCAGGAGGACGAACCTCTGGTGGCAGTAGTGGCAGCCGGCCAACGCCCTCAGACTCGCCGACCAAGAGCATCCTCAAGAAGGGGGAGAAGGTACTTAGTTTCAATTTTCTTTTGTGTTAAATATATTAGAAATGTTACCACAGTATTTGTGAAGTATATACATATGGATCTATAGGTTTTGGGGAAATACAGTATTTGAGAAGTACGGTATACATTGATCTGTAGGTTTTGGGCTTTTAGTCGAAATGATGAATGGTTTTTTTGAGTCTGAAGCTGTCACTTGATAGTTCTTGGACAGGGAGGAGTTTTACCCTTCACCCAGAACTGAGTTTTACCCTTCACCCAGAACTGATGTAAGTATCTAGATAGTTCTCAGACTGACTGACAGCCTCACTGGTTGCACATTGTACATAGTTGCCTATCAATCCGATGGCTCCCTTGCCATGAACATTGGCATATCTAGGGGTGGGATCTGCCCCCCCCCCCCCCATGTTTTGTCCCCTACTCCATGCTTCCCCCATTAAAAACTTTCTTTAATAAATAATAATAATTTAATGTCATAAACATTTTGTTTCCTATTCTATGGTTAGGCTGATGGTTCATCACCTCATTCGTTGGACTTGGGAATGAAAGGTAGCTACAGCCCAGGTGAAAGTCCTGATGAGGCTGCCAGACCATTGACAGGTAAGAAAACAACTTCAATACATACTTAATTTGCTCTGCTTCGAACATGCAGAGCTGTGGCGCAGCAGTGCTTCTTTTTTAACCCATGGCAAACACTGATGACTGCATTTGGACTTTGGACTTCGAACTTCGAAGAGCAGGCCTTGGCAACATGAATCTAGTGTTCAACATTGCTAATGTATAAACAAAAGGTTATCCTTTGCATTTATCTTATATGTATTTTGTATCTAAATAAACGAATAAATATGAAGTGAGGGGAATGTACCTTTACAGTAAAACTACGGCCAACCCTATTCAGGGGATACCCCTATTAAAGGGACACTTTCTTCAGTCCTGAAGGTGTTCCCTTAATAGGGGTTCTGCTGTATTATAGAGTGCATATATAATCGTGTAATACTGTATTTTAAAATTGTAGTGACATTTGACATGGCTCCTGGTGATACAGCCATCAACAGCATTGAACCGATTGAGGTTGTCAACTACTTTGTGGAGATGGAACTTGAGAAGCATTTAGAACAGTTGAGGCAACAGCAGTACGCTGCGCAAGCTGCTCAAAAGACTGACGGAAATAAGAACACGATACTCGTACTGCCCAAGATACGAAGGTAAGTACAATTAAAATTTAAAAAAGATTCCGAAAAAAGAATAATAGATACTCCAAGAAAAGTACATGCATGCTATCATTCTGAAATCTAGTATGTATTTTCTTTCTTGGAGAATGTATTACTCTTTCGTGTCTGAAACCAAGGAGTTATAATGTGTACCAGGATAGGAAGCTCACTGATCTCGCACTGCATGCCTGACTGGGATCATTGGTGTGTTTAGGCAAGTTTTGCACATGCTCAGAAGTGATGGGATAAGTCATGTCTATCTTGTGTTAACTCAAGTCTTAAAATAATCAAATATTAGCATTTTGCGAGCAACATATTTTCATTTTATTTAGGTAGTAAATATATACGGATTATTACAAAGGACTGGATAATTGGGTTTTAAAAATTTATAGTTGATTCATGCTCCTTTTTTGCACACTGTTTGTTACACACTCACAGGACATCAGGCACATCACAAACAGTGCAAGCTTCCTATCCTAGTACAGTTAAAAGTCCTTAGCTGCACATGACCTCTACAGGTCACAATGGCCTATCTCAAATGTACTAGTCAATTTATGACCAACTTGATTTATTTTAATTCCTTACTTAGGATATTCTTTGTGTGTGTTATGTTTACATAATATAACAATTTTGATTAGATTTTTTTAAAATCGGTGTTATTAAAAGGTAATACAATTTTCATAATTAATAAACTGTACTTTGTCCACAGAAACATGTGTTTCATCATGTAAGAATATTTTTAATGTGTCCATCATGTTTGTTTTTTGTTTTCAGAATCGTCATTTATAGTTGTTATAAATAAAATGAAATTTCAATTAATATTTATTTGTTGATTTGTTTTAAAATAATTATTGGCATCAGTGGATCAGGGTTGTCTTTGACTCAGCAGAGGTAAATCCACCAACAAGAACTAATAAATACTTTTCAATTTGCATATATAGAGTTATATGGATACTAGTTTGTGCATTAGTAACTGGGGGTGGATCGGACACACACACAAATAATTGTAATTGCACCCACAGCACCCCTTTGGAGTTGCTCAAGTTAGGCTCAGTGAAAAGTGTGCCACCTTTAAAAAATGGTTTGTTCAGTCTCTTGCCACAAATTCACATATAACACTTTTTATTTGCAACAGAGTGCAAAGTTTATTATATCTATAACACTTTGGTAGCATAGCAACCATTTTCAAAGCAACAAAGCACTTGTAATTGATTTATTGCAGTTTCTTTTTTATACATTAATAGATTAACTTTGTAATTTCTATTCAATCAATTTTTCCGAAGGTTTTAGCACATGCTTGGAGTAGAGTGATTGTATGTTCAAGTAAACTATTAGGTTACAATTAATATGATATAACATTTTTTCAGACACTAGAAAATGGAAGATTTAGGAGCCATTATTTCCTTACAAAATTGTCTTCAGTCCTGGGTTAATACAATTTGTTCAAGAACAAATGGCTTCTATTTTCTATAGTGTCCTCAGAATGTGACTATAATTGCACCTTTCATAACAATATGTACTGTATTTTTTAGCTTAGTTCATTGTTTTCGTTTGGAATTTTATTAATTTCAAATCCATTTTAGTGATCAAGATATATTAATTTTTATATGCATTACATTCTATTGGTTTGATGTCTGAAAGTTAATTATTTCATTGAATATTCAAGGTTTCTGAATTTGACATTGCTGTGTGCACTATTTTAATCATTCTTAGTTATTTTGTTTTAACTAGTTACGGTATATAATTTTTGATTTTGTATTTCCCCATAAAATTGTTATTTTGCTGTTATTTATTAAGGGAGGATTTTGACTCATCAGCTGTCAATATAGAAGAAAGGTATGAAAATTAACAATCTATTTCATGAATACTTATTGATACAGGGTTAGGGGGCAGCATGGGGCTAGACCCCTCCCCTCTCTCCCATCAAAAAAAATAAAGAGAGAGATAGAAAAGAATGGAGGATGAGAGGAGTTAGAAAAGAGAAGTCTATTGTAGTCACAGCATGATACCTCTATAAAGTTTGTAATTTGATTTTACAATTGACTAGTTTATACCACGCATATTTAGAAAATAATTCATTTGGATTAAATTGTATAGATAAGCCAATTCGTAGTTAGTACTGTGCATGCTTGCAACAAGTTCGGTTGACATAAACAAACATACATTCAATGCATACAACATAGGTGTATTCCAATTGGCATGCACAGTTCAAAAATGAATTTGCTTTTTTACAACGACTTACTAAAATGTGTAGGGCATGATATATACCATGCAGATTATACTGACCTATAAATGATATACTTAGTGTTTTTAATGTAATAAGTTGCTTCCATGGTCATGGAAAACCTGAAAATTGCAATGGAATTTTTAAATATCTTATCCAGGATAGGAAAAGTAATGAATTGTTTAAGTAGTATTTATATAATGCCACATGAAAAAAATAAAATTATATATGTAATTCAATTGTTGAAGAATGGAAAAGAAGCATTGAAAAATAATTATTTGTCATTTGAATAAAACATAGTAGAACATTTAAATTCTTTGAAATTCAGCATTGAAAGACTATAGAAATGTAAAGATCAGGAATCCTTTGGAATTGATTTAATCTGAAACCTTGCATAAGGTTGAACTCAATGCTTACTAATAGCTTGAGCTTAGTGTTTTCAAAATCATTAACAATTTTATGATTTTATTTTTGGACAAGCAGAGAGAACTTTGAAAACTTAGGAGGTGTTCAAATTGGAAGGTAACAGTCATCATCATTATCATTATCAGTATAATCATCATCATTGGCATCACCATTATCATTATCATCATCAATATTATCATCATCATCATTATCATCATTGGCATCATCATCTATGGCATCACCATCATCATCATCATCATCATCATCATCATCATCATCATCATCATCATCATCATCATTATCATCATAATCATTGCATTTGATATTAACATATGATATTATTATTGCATCATATATTACATTATAAATTAGTGTTATTGATATAACACACCATCATTTTTATTACCAATAGGTACCAATAATTTGTTTCACTTTTGCAAACTTTGCTCTGCAGTTAAAATTATTTAGTTAATAAATTCTGAGGTTTAAAAATTTAATTCTTATTTTTTTGTTGCAATCAGAACGCCCTCCGCTGAGCAAAAGACATCCAGGTAAATTTGATAGATTAAAACCAATGATTGCAGTGGAGAGTTGTTCGCATTCATTTTTTTCAGCTCATTTTTAAATTATTTCATTTAAATAAGCTTTAGCTTTTAAAAAAAAATTATCACTTGATAGATTTTTTTGCTTCTGAAATTTGCCTTTATAAAACAAGTTCTCGTAATCTCGAAAGCTCCGATGAGGGCAGTATAATAGAGGAAGTAGATTATATTGGCCCCAACGGCCGTCCATACAAAAAAGATCTATTAATCAATCAGCCGAGTGTTTCTAGAGGCATTAGAATATATTGGCCCCAAAGGCTGCACAATACAAAAAAGATCTATTAATCAATCAGCCGAGTGTTTCTAGAGGCATTAGAATATATTGACCCCAAAGGCTGCCCAATACAAAAAAGATCTATTAATCAATCAGCTGAGTGTTTCTAGAGGCATTAGAATATATTGACCCCAAAGGCTGCCCAATACAAAAAAGATCTATTAATCAATCAGCTGAGTGTTTCTAGAGGCATTAGAATATATTGACCCCAAAAGCTGCCCAATACAAAAAAGATCTATTAATCAATCAGCTGAGTGTTTCTAGAGGCATTAGAATATATTGACCCCAAAGGCTGCCCAATACAAAAAAGATCTATTAATCAATCAGCCGAGTGTTTCTAGAGGTATTAGAATATATTGACCCCAAAGGCTGCCCAATACAAAAATGATCTATTAATCAATCAGCTGAGTGTTTCTAGAGGCATTAGAATATATTGACCCCAAAGGCTGCCCAATACAAAAATGATCTATTAATCAATCAGCCGAGTGTTTCTAGAGGCATTAGAATATATTGACCCCAAAGGCTGCCCAATACAAAAAAGATCTATTAATCAATCAGCCGAGTGTTTCTAGAGGCATTAGATATATTGACCCCAAAGGCTGCCCAATACAAAAATGATCTATTAATCAATCAGCCGAGTGTTTATAGAGGCATTAGAATATATTGACCCCAAAGGCTGCCCAATACAAAAATGATCTATTAATCAATCAGCCGAGTGTTTCTAGAGGCATTAGAATATATTGACCCCAAAGGCTGCCCAATACAAAAATGATCTATTAATCAATCAGCCAAGTGTTTCTAGAGGCATTAGAATATATTGACCCCAAAGGCTGCCCAATACAAAAAAGATCTATTAATCAATCAGCTGAGTGTTTATAGAGCTCCTCATTGGAGCTAAAAAAGAATATATTTGTTAAATAGTCATGAATGTAACGGATCTGATTTTGAATAAATAAATATAGTGTTTGTTTATACAAAAGTTTTGTTTTCACTAGTACAGTATGTCTTATTCATAAAGTTGACTTAAAATGTTGCTATAATGTCATTTTGAATTGTTTATCTTATGCAAAACAGGGACTTGTTTGAGGAGCTCCAAAGGTATTTGTATTTTCTTATGTATCAATTTTATTATAAAGGTGCATTAATTTTTTTACAATATGAAAGCAAACAAGAATTTATGGAATTGAATCAAAACTGAAATGAATTATCCTCAACAGAGTAGAGTACTGTATAGTAGTGTAAATACAGCATCAATACTTGTATAAATATTGGCTTTTTATGATTACTGTTCGTAAATTTACTTAAAATAATATATCCAGCTAAACGTACTGTATTATGGCTATGATTATTCATGAAACTAGTTCAAAGGTCAAATTGTCAAATCCACTTACCTACAGTGTCTGAAAAACTCAGCAATAGTTGGGGGAACATATCCATGTAATCTATTCGTTTTTTGTATTTATGGAGTAAAGTCAACAAGAACTTAGGTTGTTATTTAATTGTGTATTTTATTTCTTGTATTTTAGACAGCGTCAATCGAAGAAAACTAAAGTAAAGCTTGAGAGGTAGTATATTAAGTAACATTTTACAAACTTTGTTTTATGGTGGATATCTCAACTATTATTTAGTACACAATGGAACCAATTATTTTGCATTATATCGGTATGAAGTGTTAATACTATATCAAGTCAAAACCAAAATTGCTTGACTTGGATAAAATTTGACTTACGGATCTTTAATTAATGGAAAACAAAGCAATAAGGCATGTAAAATAAAATTGACTTAGAAATTATTCGAGATAAGCGAAGTCGACTTAGGCAAGTTTTACTGTACCATCAACTTCTGATCGAGCCCCTTGGTCACTGTTTCTTTGATTGGTTTTTAGAGTGGGTTACAGTTTGGTAGAGTACTTGGTAATTATTATAAAGCATATATTTAACTTCGGAAAGAACTGTAAAGGCCACATGTGGTGTATATGCCAATGATGATATAAGTGTATTAACATGAGGCTGGTGCTGAAGGAGTTCAAAAGTTAAGATGTGGTAATGGGGGCTTTAGGATTAAGTGAGAGCTGGCAAAAAACAATGATACGAGGTGATTTTAATTTTTTAATTTCAACTTTATTTATATAGGGTAACCCTTCCGGTTGAACCCAAAGGCCAGTTGATATTTTACAATAAAGTTTTATTTGAGTGGGGGGAAGGTCACAAGTTTTTTAGAGAAATGCACCCTATGTTTCTTCGTAAATATGACTGATAACCACTCAGGCTTCCTGTGTTGGAAGTTCATACCTACGTATAACTCTACAAGCATAAATGTCTCTGGAATATGCTCTCCACTTTACTGTGAAACTTTTATCTGTTTTTTTATGTAAAATTCATATTTGTTTTTAAAATAGACAGAAATATATGTTATCATTTTTAAACTGATTTTTATTGTTTCGTATCTGCAAATCAGGAACATGAGAAAAAGGTAAATTTGAAGTGGCAATTATTATTAATGATATTTATTTTTTAAATAAACCAAGGTGGTTTTTTTTTTTTTTTTTTTTTTGAATTATATTTATTCTGATTTTATCTACTTCCGTGATAATAGGCCTAAGATGGCATGCGTATGTATAGTAATACAATATATACATTTATATCACTAGCTCCATGTGTGAGCCTTTCTGTCTGTTGTATGAGAGATGGTGTCTGGGGTCAGATCTGCATGTATCAGGAATTCTAGTCGAAAGTTGTGATACTCGCCTTGATAGTGAGAGGTTGCTGGCTCGAATCACGCTAGAGACACTTTTTTAAAGTCTATACATAAGTTTACAAAAAATAATAAAAGGAACTTTTCGTTGAAGGGCTATGCTTGAGACAATTATAACATCACATGTTCCTATTTGAGCACTGTTATTGTTTGTTTATATATAAAATATAATACATTAAGATAATATCCCAACGCGGTATAAGTAAAACGTTTTAGTAATCGTCTCTTTTATTTCTGTGGTGCAGAACATTTTAAATAATAATTATATTTATTTCTTTAGATGAATGTCAGGTTGTGGGTGTAACCTCCATGGTGTAAAGCAATTATTTATTTTTTTCAAAATTCCAAATAATTATAATAAATGGTTTTTTCTTTTGATAATGCTAACATTTAGACAGCAGAGGGAACGTGTGAACCGGCCTACCATGTTCTACGATGGAGACAGGTTGGAATGCTCATTCCCACCATTTTCTTGCTGTGATGCTTCTCTGTTTCAGGGTTTTTGATTACAAGACTGTTTTCAGTTTCAGATTGTTGTGGTGATAACACATTAACATGGAAATGTTGTGAAATTTTTTAGTTTAAAATAAAAAAAGTGATATTATTACTTACAGTGTATTATGTATATATTGATTATGATATACAAGTAGAGTGAATCAATTTATAGATGAAATGTATATTTGCTGTGATTTCTTAATTTTTTTTACCACTTTTCAAGGATTCTACACACAAAAATTATTCTATACTAAATTATATTTCAAAAATAAAATCTTGAGTAATATTATTTTGATTATGCAGATGAGTGACTAACATACCCATTAACATATTAATCAAATATGAATACTCAATTATTTATTCATTAAATATGAATATTCATTAATATATTAATCAAATATAATTTCATTAATATATTAATCAAATATTAATATTCATTAATGTATTAATCACATATGAATATTCAATAATATATACACTGAATATTTGATCAGTACATCTTTATTACATCTGGAAATGTGGAACATGTTTCATGTGGTTCCATCTTTATTTCTTCAGCAAACCAAGCTTAGTGCGACTTGGTGAAACACATACAAGCAAATGCCGGCCAAAGAGAGAAACAGCACTAACTGTTGGTAAGTTCATAATGCTGTTTCTGTGCTGTTTGTTTTCCATCTTTGTTCAGCACTGCTCTGAAAATATTTTTATAATGTACAAATAAATGAACTTTAAAATATTTTATGCCAGAGCTCTGGACGAAAACCAATTTTTAAAATGCTTTATTGTACAAATGAAGGTTCGAAAGCCCTGCTCAGACTATCAAATTGTATTTGACAAAAACGTGTGATATGCCTAAATATGGTCATGATGACATCACGACCATATATAGGCACATCATGACTATATATTATCATACAGCAGTTTGTTGTCAGAGACAGAACTTAAGACTTCAAAGGAGTGTTTGAAGAAATATTCAGATAGACAGGGGTCCCAAGTTAAAGAACTCCATTCGCAGGAGATTTTGACGGGAACCTTTGGCCGCCTGCAGATACAATGTGCGTCGAGTTGCAGCCAATAACTACTCATAATATCAAATACTTGACATTCAATGATCAGAAAATAGTTTAATTGCTAGCTCTTGCTTTCATGTTTATTTACACAATGTAAATTAATACCATGAATTTACATAAATTCTGGAATCCACTACTCTGTACAGCTGCCCCACCATGACAAAAGGAAGTAATTGACAATTTTTCAAAAACGAGTTTTTTTAGCCACTATCAAAGAACTAATAATTTGGAACATATTGATATATTTGAGTATGTTCAATCCCACTAATTAACAAGTAATTAGCAACACAAAAGGGAAGTAAGAGACTAAAAATACAGTAAAAACCACCAGAAAAGGAAGCAGGGGACAAAATCAACATGCTCTGTATTCCTTAATTACTCAAAGCAATGCAAACATCAGTTGTTTCCTTTTGTCATGGTGGGACAAGTAGGCCTAGTCTAATATTACACATTATTCATTTATTTACACTTAGAGGCCTACATCAATATCATTAATTACATCAATTTACACTTCTTTTCTGGCATCTGTAAAAAAATGGTAGGGATTGGAATAAACTTAATTAATTAAATTAACATTATGAGCCATGTTTTTTCCTAGTAGGCCTAGGCTTGAGCTAATCTTCAAAATGAAGTATTTCAATTTTCAAAAATTTACAGGAAGATTTTTTTTCATGCGGTAGAAAAACGTAGGCTTACGGTAGTGTGGTAGATCATCGCTAAAAGCAGTAGAATACCGCAAGTAGCGGTAGACTTGGGACCTCTGGATAGATTTTCCATTGTTTACTGATTATGACATATTATTGTCAAAGTATTGCAATATGGATAAATAGATAAATTGTATATTTTATAGTTGGTTATGGGGTACCCTAGTTCTTATATGTACAGCTCTATGAACATCACAATTATAGATTTAATATTTAAATTAATAAAAATACTTTTAATCTTATTTAGTGTCATTGCTTTTTTATTTCTTTTCAGATCTTCGTCTTCCACCAATTAATTCCTGTCTTCGTAAAGCACAACCAGATGGCTTATACAACTTTACAAATAGAATCGACTTGCCGATGAAAACTTTATATATGAACCCATTTCCAAGTCCTATTGACATCTATGATCAAACTCATCAACCGATTTTACTTATGCTTAAGACATCACAAAAGTACTTTGTACCTAGTCAGTCGCTGGTGTCTAATGAATCTACAAAACAGTGAAATCCAACAAACTGCTAGGGTGATCCAGACATTTGCAGGATTAAGTGTTTAGAAAATATAAAGCGACTCCACAGTGTAGATAAGAGAAGTTGAAACGACGTTCCAGACGTCGAGGAAGAATTGGGAGAGAGCGTCTCCTCCCAGTTTTTGTTATATTTTCTGAACCCTCTTCTTTCTTGTTACCTTCCCATCTTTCAGAGCCTTATGTATAATGTAAATCAAGTCAGTAATGTATATTAAATTGAAATGTATTTTCATAAATTAACAAATAACAGCTGCCATGGCTACTTACTAACATCTGTATAATTTCTTTACTAAAAACTCGAGCACGCCCTGGATCCGCCCTAGAACGATAAAAAAGGTGCAATCTGTATCAGTAGAAATTATTGTATTGTATTGTATTGTAAATTATTTTAAAGTTGGTTTTATAAAATTAATATATGTCTTAAGTGAATAATCTTCCTCATACCATGGAGGTATAAAATAGTTTATACGCCATGCTCATGCTGTATCGACTTCCAAAAGATGTGAAGGTATAGACATCCAGAAATAAATGTATTCATTATTTATTTAGAATTTATTTTATATTCATAAATAAACTGCAGTATTTGTTTTAATTTTCTTTTGTGTTATTTGATTAATAAATGCTTGCTTGGTACATATATTGTCATACATTCTACCTCGTGTTCATTCTTCGATTCGATTCGAAGGGTTGTAGTGACGCCCCAGTAATTCCGATTGTTTTTGACTAGTACACAGCCCATATGCTGCCGAAACGTCGATCCTTTTTGTCATTAAATTTTGTTTCGAAATATACAGTAAAGCGTCTGTTAATTCTTAAAAATAACATTGAGGCACAATGGCCCTTTCCAATACTAAACTCTGCCCATTTTGTCCATCATCATTATACGAATAACTCATCACATCACGGTGTCCAGCGAATTCAATTGAGGTTGCTATACTCGCGCAAAACGACCTACAGTGCGTTTGTGGGTTAAATTGTGTGCTTGTTAGAAACGCGCGTATTCCTGGACCTAATTGGTCAGTTGTTAAGATTGATTGATACTCTGGAAAGGTTCATTGATGGGCCCTGTTTTGCTTGGCTTATCTACAGTTTAAATATGGGGCATCTACCTAAGAAGAAATTCAGTATGCCAGACTCGTATCGAAGTGATCTTCATTATTGAACAGTTTCTATGTCAAATGTGTATTGTAATATACTCATGATTAGTTTCTCTGTTTATAATCAACTTTCTTCAACAAAGTAGTCTGTTTTGTAATAAAATCAGGATTAGTTTCTCTGTTTGTAATACTACAAAATAATAGGCCTATCCAACAAAGGCTGCAAACATAAAAGATAATTTAATATTGCAATTCTTTTCTGACATGCCGGTCGCAAGCACATTTGTAACTACGATATGGCATTCAACAAACACGCAAAATGGTAATACTTTGCAATTTATTTTGTTTTTAGAACCTATTTAATTTAATCGATCTTAATCTCTTCCCTGCACAGTGGAGTAGCAAAGAGGAATTTTGACCGTACACCACTTTACAGGAGAAAAGACAGCATAATTATCCAAATCACAAACAGATAAAATAAGTAACTTTAAAATGTCCAATACATTGCAAACTCGCGTCAGTGTGAATCTAAAACAAGCTTCAGGCAATCAGATTTAACCACGTAGTTAGTTAGGAAGTCGAGTTCACCGGGGATCTCGAACTGCTGACAACTACAACAATTACTAAAATATCTTTTTAATTTATATTTTGCTTATTTCCCGATACTTATTTCTAATGTAAAGCACATTGACATGCCAAGCCATCTCATGCGTCTTTGTTAATTATACTACTCAAAGGTGTTCCTTGTTTTAGGAGATATAATTCTTCATTGGACATTCTGGAGCCAGTGGCGTAGAAAAATATTTTTCATTGGGGGGATGATTGGCGTGTTAG